GACCTACGAGTAAGAGCTCCTAGCTATTATCGAGGCCTTTAAGTATTAGAGGCACTACCTCGATAGGGCTTAATATATAATATAGGTCTATATAGACTATAACAACCTCCGTAGCATTACTAAGGTTACTAGGGTTATAGGTCGATAGGCTAGATAGGCCGTCTACCTCGCTAGGTTCGATTTTAATATATTATACCGGCTAGGCGTAAGTAACCCTACTAATAGCCTATCGAGGCGACCTAATTACGATAGCGAGACCTAATATATTAATTTATTGTTTCTAACCCTATAGCATAAGATTGCTATAGCCCGTATTATTAATAAGTAAACGTAGGATAAGCGGACCTCCGGACCCCGCGGCGGTAATAAATACTATAGCAGAGTTGTCGTTCTTCTAGTATACGTTAAAAAGGACGTAGATTGCTCGAGCTATAACGACTCGATTAAAGATATTGCTATCTATAGCGATAGCACTAGCTACTAGTGCTATTAGATACATATAATGCGTACCTCGTTTAATAGCGAGGGTGCTATTAAATAACCTTATAAATAGGGATAGTTAATCGTTTATAGATAAGCTATTACGTACTTAGTAGAGGGACGCCTTTGCTATCGAGCGTATTAATAGGCTTGTAAGTAGACGGGCGACTCGATCTAGCAAGAGTAATAGTTAGTCGATCGACGATAAAGGTTACTTAAAGTTTAAGGGCAGATACTATGTCCCCGCTAAGCAATCGATTAGACAAGAGCTTTTAAAGAGGCACTATAATATTAAGCTCGCTAGTTACTATAGCATAGAGAGGTCGTACGAGTTACTATCGCGTATATACTACTAGCTAAATAGTAAGCGGCATATAAAGGAATATATACAGACCTATATAGTATACTAGCGAGTTAAGGTACTAAAGCACTTACTATTTAGCGAGTTGTCTTTACTTCCTGTTCCTAGGAAGCTATTTACTAAGCTTATAATAGACTTTATTATAGGCCTTCCTCCTACTAAGCGTAGGGGTAGCAAGGACGTATATAATACTATCCTTATTATAGTAGATCGATTTACTAAAGGCGCTCGATACATCCCGGCGCGGAAAGATTAGACTGCTATTAATATAGTAGAGGCGCTATAGAACAACATCTTCTATACCTATTAGGGAACCTCTAAGGAGATAGTATCTAATCGTAGATCGACACTAATATCGCACTATTAGAGCGAAATATGCCTACAGCTAAGACTAAAGCATCGGCTATTAATAGCCTTCTATCTATAGACTAACGGTTAAATAGAGAGACAGAATGCTACCCTATAGTAGTACCTACGCAGTTATATTAACGAGAACCCTAAGGATTAGGTTAATCTCCTATAGCCTATAGAATTCGTATACAATAATAGTATATACTTATTAACTAAGGTTTCACTATATATAGCTATAATAGGCTAAAACGCTGCCCTGCTATAAGATCTATTTACCTCGCTCGAGGCCGAGCGTAAGAAAAGGGAAGCGCGTTAAGTACTAGAAACACTAGCGGTAATAGAACGTATCTAGAAGATGCGAGAAATCTATACTAAGATAGCTAAGAAGCTAACAAGGGCTTAAGAGTACTAAAAGACCTACTACGATAAGCGCTATATACTAATAACCTTTAAACAAGGCGATATAGTTATGCTAAGCACTAAGAACCTCCGTATCCGCAAACACCTATTACCTAATAGCAAAACAAGGCCTAAGCTCGTACTAAGATACATTGGCCTATTCCGCATTCGAGAGGCTAAGGGCATATAGGCTTATTAGTTGTAGCTTCTACCTTATTACACTATCTATAACACCTTCTATATATCCCTCCTTAAGCCGTACTACCTACGCGAAGGGGATAAAGCACCTGCTAAATCCGAGGACATACTAGCTAATAGCGAAGAGCTATAGTCTATAGAACGTATTCTAAAGCATCGGACTAGACAAGGCAAGAAGGAGTACCTTCTAAGATAGCAAGGCTATTTACCTAAATAGGACTCGTAGGAAGCTAAAGGTTCTTTTAAAGATATAACTAAGTTGTTAGATAAGTATTAGACTAGTATAAAGAACAAGAAGAAGGCTAAGGGCCTATAATGCCGCCTAGGGATAATGCTACCCCCGGGGTACTATTAGCTAACTAATTAGAGGCCGGCGAACTAAGACAATAAGATTACACTAAACGCGCTATAACGCGTTAATTAATCGCCTACTCTTTTAAGGGATCTACCTCTTTACTAGCGCAACCTATAAGACCCTTCTCTTAGCGCCCCTTTTTATTTCTTCCTTCTATTAGGGCCTTAAGGCCTAGGCGATCTACGAGGACGGCGCGCGCGTAAATAGTAATAATAATAATAACGACGGCGCAGCCGGCGCGGCTATATTAGTAATAGTATTACGGAGTATGTTACTATTTAAGAAAGGAAGGACATAGCTATATTAGTAACAGTATTACCGAGTTATTATTAGTTAAAGAAGGAAATTAGAAGAAGGTAAAGTTAGCGCTAAGACGACTAGCGCCGCTATTATTAATATTACCTACTATTGCTACCGCACTTACGAAAACAACCTTACCTATACTATAGCCTAAGGCCGGAAGCGCGCTATACTAATTAAGTTAAAAGAATAGCTATATTAAAGGTTTAATTAAAACTTTAATTAAAACTTTAAGCCGCTTAAAAGATTAAGCGACTAATAGACTAGCTAACTAAGGGCAAAACTATAGAGCTAAGCTAGCCGGGGTCGATCTTATAGACAATAGGTTACTCCTCGATCTTTCTAACCCTTTAAGCGAGGCGAACCTCTACTACTGCACTTATAATAGCCTTTACCTATAGAAACTAGAAGGACTAAGTTTTTTAAAAAGATATAATTAGTTAATACTTAAAGGCTGCTAAACCTAACTAATTAGGGCTAGTAAAACTACGATAGTAAATAATAGCCCTCGTAATAATAAGAACAATCCCTCGGAACGGACAACCCTTAGAAGCGGACATTGCTAGGTCTTTTAAGAGTAGACGTAAAGAACTCGGTACGACATTACTTAGAACGGAGGTAGGGCTACAATACCTCGTACGTCTACCTATTATAGTAGGGAAGACGCGCTTGTATTATAATTAGTCGATAGTCCTTAATTCTTATAGACATATATTACTTTATTATATATAAGGATAGCGTAGTTAGAGTTAGATATTATATTAAAAGTAAGGTTTAATATAGTTATATAATTAGGTAGTTAAGTGTTTAATTTAGCGCGGGCTAAGTAGCTTATTAGATTTGCTAAGTTAGTAGCAATAGAGGTCGAGATTGGAATATAGGTAGGCTACGAGAGCGTAGCCTTTAGAAGGGAAGCGTATATTAGGGCTAAAGAGGCTATACGTAATTAGCATATAACTAGGCCGAGTAAAGCTAGGGTCTTAATGCCTTAGGCAGGGCTTGGCGCTTAGCGTTAGGCTAACTCTCCTACCTTCCTCCCTCTCCTTCTAGATCCTTATCGAATACTACTCGTACCTACTACTACCCTATCTACCTACTAACATACCCTTCTTACAATTCTAACTAGAATAGGATAGTAGGAAAGTTAAACTATAGTAGGAGGTTTAAATACTAGAATGCTAGATCTTAGGCACTACGCCTCCAATAAGACCAAAATATCGCTACGACGATTTGGTCCCAATGCCAAGGCCTCCGCATTGAGCAGGCAATTTTAGAGTTTCACACTCGGTTGTTAAGCATGTTTTGGTACTCTCCGCTTTCTTGGTACTGAGAGCCAGAGCGCTCCAATTATTTATTGCCGCTAGACGAGAGCCGACGTCAGGTCGAGTCTTGGTACAGTCTTGTCGTGAATGCTGGGCGATTGTTTTCGGATCGCAGAACCACGTTTTTGAAGCTAGCAAGGTGGTCGTGCAGATACTTGCACATGGCTTGCCTCTTGCATCGTAAAGCTCTACTAACATGGACAGGCGTGAATGGATCAATACAGTAGTGTTAGTAGTTGGAAATTTATGTGCAATGCTTGTCTTGGGTAGTGACGTTTGGTACAGATTTCGCTCGATTCCAAGACTCTTCAGCAGATTGCAGGAGGCGGATTTTGTCAATCCATAACGCGGCGTCAGTCTCCTTCCCGCGGAAGCAGCATTTACGTTGATCGCGGTGTCAGTCGGAATACCGATGCTCGAAGACGCCACGCTAGAGTCTAAAATATAGCGGGCTAATAAGCAAGAGGAGAGCCGGGTTTCTCGAGCGCAGCAGCTCCCGTATTCCAAGACTGCCTCTGCGATGGGTCAAATCCTAATAACCTCGAGCTTGACAACAGCATGTTGAAGAACAGACCTTGCCGAGTCGTCCACACTGGCGACTTCTTCACACTGTGATTAGAGCGACGTGAAGCGCATGCTCGAAAGCGTTTACGTAGGTGCAAACGTTGTTGTATGAAGCAGAGTGAGACAAGCCAAGCGCCAAGAGTAGACGCGGTTGAAAGACGTCTCCTCGGGCTTTTCGCATGATCTGTCTGCCATATCTGGTGAGCCAAGAGCCTACAAACTCTTGTTGGAGAGATTATATAGCTGTCCATGACACGCCGGAGGCTGTGCCATAAGCTTGAAGCGTCCTTGACGAATGTGCCGCCAGAGCGTGACAGCCACGCAAAAGCCTCAGCTGCTATTTCAGTAGCTCGTTCCTGGTCAGGAGGAACGACCTGGGACAGCCAAGTCCGCGAGGAAGAGCCAGAAGGTGATCGCAGCGTGGGATCTGTGGTTGGTGTTCCGGTCTCCGGCTCTATCTACTTGAACGTACTCTTGCTGTGGGTGGGTAGAACCTGAACCAGGTGGTGCATGAGAGCAGTGGTCGAGGTTCAGATCTAGCTGCAGAAGCATTCACATAGAGCTGACCGTTGGCTCAATATCCATTCACAACTGCAACGACACTGACTTTGCAATGCGGTGCGCAATCGGACGACACCTTCAGCTTCAGCGACGCCGAAGAGGCACTTGCTCAACGTCGCATGCAATATACCACAACATCGCCCTTTCGTCGATGATCATCGTGCCAGTGGGTGTTGAAAAATCGCCGGCACTCTTTGTATCTAGTTCCCACGAGGAGCGGCTGGAGTGTTGGGAGGAGTTGCTCGAAGACTACCAAATAGTGCGGCCATTTGCGGCTACCGAGTTCAATCTGCTCCAGACGGTTTTGAGCGTCCGCCTCCAGATCACCAGAAATGATGCCCCGGTCTTGCATGTTATTGTTCAACCATTTCACAGGATCGGCGTAGAAGACATCCGCTTCGTCCAGATATGACAGACGTTCTTGCGGACTAAGGTTGACCGGCGGCTCACACGTGAGAGCCCAAGCATCGATTCCTGGATAGACGAGATGACTTCTCCATGGTGTACTGTGACATGGCATAAGGAAACCGACAGTGATGTTCGCTGGAACGGCCTCTGTCAGCTCGCCTGTAGCTGCTGTCTCGATCCAACTCTCTTGACGGTGTCGAAGGTAGTGCATCACATCAACGACGCCTCGTTGATGGACTAGACTCACGTAGTAGGCAATGAGGACATTGGCCGCAAGTGCGCAGACCAGAATGACAGATCGCACTTTGTTGTGAACGCCAATGTCGAAGAAGGATGCCAAAGGTCTTGCTGCGAGCACATGGAGGATGGGTAGTAATGGGTATATGAATCGTACTTCTTTATGCGAGATAGCCGAGAATGCGAGTACAGTAGCGACCGTTGCTACTCCAAAGGTGAAGCTTATAACCTTTCCTGTCGACTTGGAAGACTGCCCATGCATGAAGCTTTGGTACAACCCGAGCAAGGCAAAAGGAAGAGCCGTAGTCAATAGGAGCGGCAGTCCTTCAGTGAAGTAGTAGTCAACTCTGTTCTGCCCATAAAAAGTGGCAAGGTTCTGTACCAGGTTCAAGTACAAGAAACGAAGGGGTGGAATGGCCCAGGTATTGTAGTACAGCCGATCAGCTGCCACAAATACAGCAAGAGCCGAAAATCCCGCTACAGCTGCACCTTGCGCCAATATGCTAGCTCTGCGAAAGCTTCTGCCGCGCCAGACCAGAACGGCACTGATAGAGGCCCAGATGATGATATTGGTGGGACGTAGGTAGAAGGCTGTCGCTGCTGCCGCCAGAGCAATATACAGCGAGGTTGATGAAGCTCGATGTTCTGCTTCTGTGGCCTCGCCTACACCAAGGAACATGCTCCAGGGAAACAAAGATAACGCGGCAGCCGTCAATGCCGTCTCGAGAGAATTCGAGAATGTGCGTACCGAGCAATGCCACTGCCACGGACTGCACACTGTCACGGCGAGAGCCCATCGCGTGGCTGCATGCCGTGCGCCGTATACTTGGCCGGCCATGCGCCAGGTAAGGTAGTCCATCGATGCAGCAAAACAAGCTTGGACGAGCCTCGGGGCAGCACCAAGAGCATTTGCCCTCACATGAGCATCGGCTTGCCAGAGATGACAGAGCCAGTCCATCGCTCGATATGCGGCTGCAAAGAGGTACGGATGGACTGATGTTCGCAGCTGTTCCTTCCATTCCTGGAAAGCCCGTCAGCCCGGCCAGGCCCTGCGCATTGATCGGGCCTCACCCAGGTAATCCAGGCACCGCTCTGAGGACCAAATGCGATCTGCCATGCTGGCTCTAGCGCTTGGAAGTACTCGTCCGGCTGGAAGAAGGTCTGGACGAAATGGGCATTGATGATGCGGAAAAGCAGGAGTGCAACGAAGACGGCGACCTTCTGTCTCATGCTGCCGGCCCGCTCTCTGCGGAATTCGTGTATGGTCAAGGACGAGCGATGATTTGCGAAATGATTCGAGGCCCCATTGCTGGCTGCTTGGCACTGAGCAACGACCTTGCACGTCGCCTGAGGCACCAATTGAAACAGCCGAATTTCGACCGAAATGCCAATACCAACCCGCCTCGTCTCGTCTCCTTGTCTCCTTCCACACCGCAGTCCATCAACACAGACAATTATTGAGCTCATCCAGACTTTGACCCGGACAACGCAATGGCTTCCTGAACCGAACGATGCCGTGGTCCATCATCTCATAAATTCAGAATCATCATATCCCTTCCGAGTATCACTCGCTGACAGCCGCGGGCAAGGCGAAGATCATACCGAGGCTTCCTCCACCCTCCGCCACAGCTTGCTGTCGCTGCCCGTGCTTTCAATTCTTCTCATCAACCAGCACCGTCCATAACGCAAATATTCCTTTGGTGTTGAGGTACATACTGACATCGCATCATGGCACACGCATCTGCGTCCACAGATCTTTCCGTCGCAAATCTCTTCAACTTCAAGAATCATGTTGTACTTGTTACAGGAGGAGCCACGGGCCTCGGAGAGATGGCAGCTCAAGCGTTTGTCCAAAATGGATCTCGTGTCATAATTGCGAGCCGTAAAAAGAGCGAACTGGAGAAGACGTCTGCCAGACTGAACCAGCTCGGACCCGGCAAGTGCGAATGGGTGGTGGCTGATTTGAAGGACAAGGCCGGATGTGATGGACTCGTTGCGGAAGTCAAGAAGAAGACCCATCGACTTACTGTTCTTGTGAACAACTCTGGCGCAACCTGGGGCGCTCCTTACGACGACTTCCCAGAATCCGGCTGGGACAAGCTCATGGCTCTGAACGTCAAAGCTATTTTCTACACCACTGTCGGACTACACAGCCTTCTCACAAAAGATGCCACAGCGAAAATGCCGAGCCGCGTCATTAATATCGCTTCCATGGCTGGCATCACTACTGTGGATGTAACGACTGGTGACGAAGGCGGTCTTGCCGCCCCAGGATCTGGTACTTTCAGCTACGGTCCAAGCAAAGCTGCCTGTATTCATCTCTCCAGAATGCAAGCATCTAAGCTGATGCCTCATCACATCACGGTCAATTGTGTGTGCCCGGGTGTCTTCCCAAGCAGGATGACAGCGTATGGAATGCAGTCTGCCATGGATACCTTGGTCTCGGGGCAGCCAAGTGGCAGAGTTGGCACACCCGAGGACTTCGGCGGCCTTATGCTGTTCTTGTCGAGTCAAGGCGCCGGTCATATTACCGGAAATGTCATTGAGATTGATGGCGGTAGCACAAGGAGTGGCTACAGAAGTAAGGCGAAGAACAGGCAAGAGAAGCTCTGAGCAGAATTCGCTTGCGAACAAACTGAGCAACTACCAGTTGAAGCGTGTTTTTCTATGGGCCTTCCGGTCGATGAGCTATCGCATTGAAGGCAGCCATAGGGAATGCTAGAAGAGAGATCAAGACCACGCGTGAAAGCTGTCAAAGTAAGACTTATGTACAAACAGGCTAAACGATAAATGAAACGAACCAAGTGGTGTATAGTAGTAGTGTCAACCTTTGGCCTGTTCTGCAACGTCCTTTTATGGCCATGACTGAAGATCACGCAATTGCGTTTCTTCGACACTTCACAGAGCTCCGTAAGATCGGTCAGTCCAAGCATATATGATGAACGTCCAAGTCTGTCAAGTTTGTGCAACATAGGAGAAAAAATAATGACCTCGCTTGGCCCCAGCGATCCTTGCCCCACGCCATTCAGAATTTCAGAAATACAGAGGTGGAGCACACCGACTCCGGAAGTTGCACTGATAACAAGCCCGGTAACTAAACGGTATGCTGTCATACTACTCCACTGAGCAGATACACAGACCCAAAATGCGAGCGTACTGCATTGTAAGAGACGTGTCCTGAAACCTCCCTCTCCTCTATTCGGTGTCGAAGTTGGAACCCGATCTTCCACACTTGTGAGCTCAAAAAACACATCAGGATATGGAACAGCAAGTGGAAAGACTTGTGAACAAAGTATGGGATAAGTTTCAAGATCTACCTCAAAGCAAGCGTTATCTGGTCGCAGTCAGCGGCATTCCTGGATCAGGTAATTCTCCGACCTAATCAATGCTTTGCACGAATATCCCCCTCACGTCTTCCCAGGCAAGACGACCTTAGCAGCTAAGGTGGCCGATCGTCTGAACCAACGATGGCGCAGTGAGACCGCCGCACGAGCTGGCAACGACGGCATAGCGACATTCCTCCCCATGGACGGCTATCACCTCACCCGCGCCCAACTCTCCGCCATGCCAGACCCGGCCAATGCGCACGCCCGTCGAGGGGCAGCCTTCACGTTTGACGCGCCTGCGTTCTTGAGGCTCGTAAAGATGCTTCGAGAACCGATATGTCCTGAAACAGGGACCTTGTACGCGCCGTCATTCGACCACGCGGTGAAAGATCCTGTGGAGAATGATATACCTATACGGAAACAGAGCCGTATAGTGGTTATGGAAGGCAACTACCTATCGCTGGGCTCTGGAGCGAGTGAGTGGAAAGAGGCGGCGGAAATGATGGATGAGTTGTGGTTCGTGGATGTTGATAGAGAGGTTGCAAGGAAGAGGTTGATCGCGCGGCATGTGGCAAGTGGGATTGCGAAGGACGAAAGCGATGCAGCTAAGAGAGCAGACGAGAATGATTTGGTGAATGGGGATGAGATTATTTCGGGCAGAATTGAGGTCCATGAGATAGTTAAGAGCCAGGAAGATGAGACTTGGACACCTGAGCAACAGGGCATTGATAAGGAGAGAGATGCTGAAGAGCATGAGAGGAGGAACAGCCAAATGAAAGATGTGATATGAGTGGACTGCTGGAGGAGTCGTGACAGCCGAAATCAGTCGGGATCACAGATGCAGGAATTGGCACATTGTCAGTCGGCCGACATCTTTGAGGAAGTGAAGTGGTCACGCAGCACTGAGCCATAGATCTCAAAACGTACTTGGATTTCGGACCCTCGTATTGTCCAAATCAATAGGCAGGATGGAGCTTTCACATGATACCCAGGCACTGCTCATATATTCATTTAGAGATAGATATATGACCCTTTCGCTTGTTCCAACTGCCTTCACATAACAGCTGGAATAAGACCTGGCATAGCAGATAGCGGGAAATGGTAGAATGTGAGCCATCGTAGGTCCAGATGTTGCAATTATCCATCTGTTGTAGAAAACGACTCGCTTACAGTCGGCCAGACAATGGACTTCTTGAGTGGATGTTGTGACGGAGGCATGATGCACTGCTGCCAAGGTGCAGAGTCACCTGTTCAGCCACCATGACGTACCTGCTACGGTCACTTTGGCTAGCTTGACGAAGCTCGAACACAAGAGTGTCGTCCCGTCCTTCGTCCACGTTCTCGCATCGCCGCTACATCAACAATCCATTGAACATCCTCCGCCAAAAGTTCGACACCGCCTAATTTCCTCAATCCGAACAACGCCAGAACAACAGCCAACATGTCGGGCACTCTTCACTGTAAGTAGCTGCTGCAAGCATCCCTTTGCCAGAGCTTCCAGTTGTTTGTTTTGGTGAAGGGGAAAAGTAAAAAGACAGAATACTGACATTTATCGCCATAGATCTCCCACCAGTCAAGCCATCAGCCATCGCGCTCGGCACTGTCTTCAACCACGTCGCATCCCTCGCCGTCCTTGGCCCACTCTTTGGCGAGACCTACCGCCGCGCGCAGGCCGCCAACTCTGCCGAGGAGTTCTTCAAGTCAAAGGAGGCTGCTAGCGCTGGTGCTGCCTGGGGAACCTCGCTCATCGGATCTGCCGTTCAGTCGTACGGTGTTGGTGCTCTGATCAATGCTACTGGTACTCTGTCCTACAAGGGCGCTGCATACCTTGGTGCCTTGATCTTCGCTGCCTCTTCTGCCCCATCCGTAAGTCACACCTTAATCACTAGGAACCCCAAAGCAGATTCTGACTCCGAACCCAGTTCATCGCCCAGGTCACCACCGAGAAGCGCCCACTCGACACTGTGGCCGTGGGTGCTCTGGCCCGCGTCTTCGAGACTGTTGGTCTATCCATGTTCCTCACCTGGTGGGGAACCCGCACCAACCCATTCGGCAACAACCTCCAGTAGATTGGAGTAGCTGAAGAGCTGTAATGCATGGTGAAATAGCAGGAGTTGGCAATCGAAGTTGGAGCAAAGGCGGAGACTCCACTGCCGTATGCTTGGCCACATGCCATCCCTGAGAATAGTTAGCAAAAATACGAGTTCTTTGTGTGTTAGAAAGTAACGAGAGCCTTGAAAAAGTCCCCCTTCCCGTACGTTGTCATTTGTTCTCACATATCTCACGCTGCGCAAACTCCCCTCGGCACCACATGCGCCAAGACCGAACACCAGAAGCTTGCTGCGACCTCAATCAGCAAAATCCCGATATGCATCAACATCACCATGACAGACATCGAAGATGACGGCCTCTTGGGCATTGAAGTCGATACAGATGATTATGCCGAGACTTCAGCCGGCGACACACCGAGTGTCCCGCGCACTTTCCAAAGCGAAGCAGATTTTCAGATTCAAAAGGCTTCCTACACTGCCAAGATCGACCAAGGAAACATCTATGCCGAGCTGGTCAAGACAGTACCTGTTCTGGACGCCAATGCTGAACATGCTATCAAGACTAATGCCGAAGACGCGGTGGCTGAAGTCAAGTTAAGCAAGAAAGAAGTCCAGCTGTTAGGATATGCCGTGGGCGAGATGTACTTTGATCGGAAGTATCAGCACATCATCGATCTCTGTCAAAGGGTTGAAGAAAGGTGCAATGTCGATGCCAAGTTAAAGCAGAGTTTGGAGAAATGGATGGGTCGATGTCGAGAGAGGCTCAGCCAAGGACAGTCGCAATCTTGAGCAGTTGTGTCCATCTTGGCACGTGTTGCTGGCCTACCTTCTGGAGCACGGAGTCGAGGTTCCCATGAAGTCCCCTTCATGTCAGCACTGGACGGCTAACAGCCTGGCCATCAAAATGCCATGCTGCTCCGGCGAAAGACAGTACATTCGTATCGGGGAGCCCGAATCTGTGAAGTCTTCTAGGCCTAAACAGCCCAAATCACGGTATTCTGACGCCCTTCTGGAGTTCAGTTGCTTGCTTTCCAGCCTATGCTCGAGTCTACAAACACATAGTCCAGGTATCACAGCATGCATTGGACTCACTACGACTCCCACGCAGATACAAACCTCAGGGTGATTGAAAGCTGCAGGAATGAATCTGCCTTCTGGCAACGAGATTCATTAGGACAGTGTGCCTTGCTAGAAGGTCTTAGGCATATGAAAGAGTCTTGTAAAACGATTGCTGCTCTTTGTTGAGGCAACTGCAGCCTTACTCAGCTACCCGCCGTCACAGTTGCTAGGTGGACCAGAAAGGAGGCCCGCAAATCTGAATCTCACCTCGGCTATCTAACTACTCTTCTCACGCCGTCTCTGGATCTCTACAACAAGGACTTCCTCTGCCATCTTAATTCAAGTAACCGCGCGGCCGCTAAGTTCGCCATTTCTCGTTCCATCCGCTGGCGACTTTCAAAGGACGACCCTGCATTTGCATCTTGGTGAATATGGCTCCAGTTTGGCCTGTCAACTCTCACCTCTGCAGAATGGCCTCTATCTGAGTTAGGGGTGTGCATTGACGCTGGCATATCGGCGTGGGCTGCATAAATCGAATGCTACTTCTGGAGCTCAAAGATCAAGGAAGGACTCTGTATACCACGGAATGAAACACTTATAAGATACCGAAGGCCACTGCAAGGTCCATATTTCCCCGTGAGGTACCGGAACTCAGTGATTGCTGACTGCTTCTCTTCCTATGGCGTGTCTCCTCCTCGAATGGGCCTTTACACATGCAACAATCAACTCACATGGACTCCGAGTTCACCTCCTGCTGCGCATTACACGTGCTAGTGAATTGCTGTTCCATGTGCGATCTTGCTCTGAGTCCATCTTGTGAGTTTGCAAGGAGTGAACCAGTGCCTCTTGGAGGGACTTCCCTGAGTAGTCATTCACTCCTAGTTGAATTGAGGTGCCTGGTCGACCTCGCCGACGACTACTTAAGCTTCGCTTTCGCCCTTGCGACTTAGACTTCTTCCATCACCTTTTTGCAGCAATCTCTTTCCCAACAACCTCCTCGGCAGCAACCTCTTTCGCAGCCTGCATCGGTCTCTTAAATACACTGACCTGCATCCTTCCAACTCCGAGCAATAGAAAAGCCGCCCACCTTTTTAGCATTTCCATACCGGTAGCACAATGTTCGGAGTCGCCACCACAATCGCTCCCTTGTACGGTGTGCTCGTCAGCGACAAGAGCCACTTGGTGGGCGAGCGTAGGCTCGTGAAGCGCGACTACGCGACACTCATGGCCCACAAGACCCTCGCCGACACTAAACTTCCGCCGGAGCTCATCGACCAGATCAGCGATGAGTTGTTCAAGATGGAGATGGCCATCGTCGAGTGGAAGTGGTGGGACGATCTTCCGCATCAGGAAAATTATGCCAAGTTCAAATACCGCACCGGCACTGAGACGAATTTTGAGCTGAACGCTCTAAGCAAGGGTGTAAGTCAAGCTCGCTGAAGTTCCTCAAGCCGATACTAACATACCTACCTATGTAGCGCGACATGGGCGTCGTGACCACCCGCATCTTCGTCAGCACGCCATACCAGAAGAAAGGTATCCAATTCTTCATGCACCTGTCGGCCACACCAGACATGCCGAAGATGACACCACTTCCCTTCGTCGGTCTCCCTGCCACGGAAGACACTAATGCTGCGGAGGTCGATCACTACGGATCGCTTGGAACCACAACCACAGATGTTCTACCAGACACGGACCATCCACATCTGCAAGTCAGCACCACCTACTACGAGCCCTCGACGAAGCTTCACCCCTACTTCAAGGGCAAGGACGTCGAGCGACCAGACCCCTGTCAGGCCGGTCAACTCACCGTGCTCGATGTGGATGCCGCGAAGGAGAACTGGGACGCCGCCCTGCTAAAGGAGTACACCAACAAGCTGGGCTTGCACGTCATCCCGACCGCTGGGAAGGACGCCCACCAACCCGTGTTGATGTGCTGGAACCTCATCTTTGACTACTGAATGGCCAAATAGCATCATCGCTGGCCGATCCCCGAGCAAGTAATGACTCGCTTGGGCTGCCCAATCACCACACAGTCATCATACACACTCGAAGGCGGCCCCGAAAGCCCGCGTCTGGCTTCTGGACTGCCAGGCGATTCACCGTTGATACAGAATGGAGTTGTGATCCATCAGGGCGCCCTATTCACTCACGACGCAACAGAAGCTCTGCTATTCCCACCAGATCTGCAGGCTGCGGTGCGCAATTTGGACTTGGGCTCCGAGAAGCCGCAGCTGAGCGTCGCTGCGATGACCTTTGTGATAGAGGACTCGCTATCTCGGCGGTGGGAGCAAATCCAATTGTATCCGCTCAGTACCATGGTTCAACTTGTTTCTTTTGAAGCGTTGTTGTTGTTGTATTCAGCAAAGGAATTTGAAGCATTGAAAATCATACCACATCCAAAATCTCTTGACAACTTTCCTAGTCTATTATTTGTCTTTCTCTCTACATCGACTAAACCCAACCCTCCACCATGAAATCCACCCTGCACATTACTTTGCTACTGCACATCATCAATATGCGCCGCTTGGCAAACCAAACTTTCCATGCCCATTCACCGTCCTCCCCTCCCCATTCGGAATCGCCAACCCATCCAGCACCTTGGAAGCCGCTCAAAAAGCAGACGTCACACGGCCCCACTTCGATGCTCGATGCAGTGCACCAATGCTGGCGGAACCATTACACGTAATAGAGCTGCAGCATTCCATATCTCCTGAAGTACGTACCTGTTGTGCCTGTATTATTGCATTGCGCTGGATGCAGGAACAGACTGCCAAAGTCCGGGATTAGCGAAGATCGGAGAAACATGGACGGCCACTTCCTGCAGGACTGTAGCCGAGTGTCTGTATTGTGAGAGACGCAAGAGTAGTTCATACTCATTGCTCACAGCATGCTGCTGGATGTATAACGGGTTCATAAACATAAAGCAACCTCTTCGACGTGGTATTGTTCCCTCATGACCCATCAAGCAAGCGCGGCTGTTCTTCATGGTCAGCGTATACTGGTCTGACTTCCCACCTCGTGCTGTCTTCCTCTAGCCCATGCCAGACGCCGAGGTCTCTCGGTAGGAAAACGCCCACATCTTCCATGAACTCCTCCCTGGCGGCATGATCAGCGTGGTACAGCCTGTCAAGCTCTTTGCGTGCCTTATCCGCAATGCGCTTCATAGCAGCCTCGCTCGCTTTCCGTCGCTCGACCTCCTTCAAAAGCTTGCCGTAGCCACCGAAGAACTGCTCACAGAAGATACTCAAGTCGGTAAGTTCTGTAGTCTTTGCGTGCATCTGGTCACGAATGTCAACCCAGGTTTCGCGGAACGAGGAAGCAGATTCCAGATGTCGCGGGATTGCCGCACGCATGTCTCGCATGGAATCGAGGACTTGTCGGAGGGTTTTGTTGCGAAGACGTGCCTTGCGAGCATAGACGGAAAGTGATCCATATTGGCCTTCAAGCTCCGCAGCACGATCTCGAATCTCAACGACTACGTCCTCGACTTCTTGAGCGTCCTTCTCCAGGACAGCGAGCATGTCGTATCGCTCTTCGTCGGAAATCGGCTCAGCGGCTGCTTGCCCATACAGGCTTTCTTCAGGTTTGGCAACATCCTTGGTACTCAGCTCAGCTGCTTGCTGGACTGCTAATTTAGCAGCTTCCCCGCCTCCCTCGGTGTGCCTAAGAGCTGTCACGCTCAGGTCGTAGTGATTGACCAAGTTTTCGAGCAGAGACGCCATTTCCGTAGCATGTTCCTCCATGCCGTGGAAGAGGTCTGATATCGAAGAAGGCGGTTCATCATAAATCATCGGCCTGTCAGGCTCATCGGACACGCCGTTGGTATCATCTGCCAGTTTCTGGGCAATTCCTTTGAGAGTAGCCTCGAAGGCAGCCAGGTCGGTGCTGAGCTCCGATCTGGCTTCGTGGTAGTGGTCAATCAAGCCTCGTAGAGAAGACAGCACACTCTCATGCGTAGCCTCGTCGATGAAGTCGAAAAGAGTCTTGGACTCTTCTTCCGTATCAGAGGTAGAAGATGCCGCCTCCGGCTGCTGCTGCTCATGAGCAGTGACGATGGTCTTCCTCAGTTGAGTCAGAGTGTTGTCCAGCCTGGCATGGGCGCTGTCCAGATTTGCTATCGTAGCATCGAACTCGTCCGATAGCTTGGTGCCATCATCGATCAAGGCATCTCGAATAGCGTCCAGCGTTTCTGCTTGCTCGTCCAGACCTTTCTTCGCATACGCATTCTTGGCATTCAGTGCAGCAATTTCTTCAATCAGAGAACGTGAGCTCGTGACCAGCTCATTGGCGCGGTAGACATGGCTGGTGGCGTTCAGAGATCTCTTTGCTTCGACAAAGCGGACGACCAGTCTTTCTAGGCTAGGCGGACCGTGGTAGTGTAGACTGGCGTCTGGCGACTGCGGCGGTGAAGGGCTCGCCGATAGTTCGGAGTCGGAGTCACTCATGATGTTATAGCATTGTGCAGGTGTGAAGGCGTTACAACAGAAGGCGTGGTATGGTATGGTATGGTTCGGGATCGGATTGCGCCGCTGCAGGGACCGGGCCGGACCTCGTTCGAGCACGTGAGAGCGAATGAAGCGAACGCCGACGCCGACGCCGACGCCGACGCCGACGGGCACGGCACGCGGATCACTGTAGGCACTGTAGGTTCTCCTCACCGCGGTGCATATGCATTACGAGAGAGGTGAGAAGCGTACAGTTCTCAAACAACCAGGTGCGTCTGCAGCCAAGTTTCTTCAGTCGATGACCAATATTCTAGTTTGGTTCCACGGAGGAGTGACAAAGAAATGCTGCGTCCAAATTGCGTGACTTGAGGTTCAGTTGGCGAATGCGCCAGGCCTTTGGTTCGGCGACAGGGCAAATGCTGGTCTGACCAAGACTCCATCATCACACCATTCTCACTATCCTTCCAACGCAATCATCCGCCGACCAGGAGCATTCCACCCATCGCACGCAAGTCACGACCAACTGCCGGAAGCACTGACTCAGCGCGACGTTGCACCACCTCCGCCAGCGAAGACGATAGAACTAGCCACCGAGCAGACGCCCACAGCACAGGGTTCGGGTTCAGACTCAGACTCTTAGACCTCCTCTCGCACGCCAGTCTGCGCCCCGACCATCTTGCTGTTGCACTGTGCGAGGGAGCCAAGTGATGTGGCCAGAGTAGCGGAGACATGGGCAGTGAAGCACGCCATTCGCTCTCTGCGTTCGACCCACCGAGAATAATGTCTCAGACTGCATCTCCGATCACGAATGGCTATGGCGAGCGCAAAGGGGGGAGTGGAAGGGAGGAGAAAGCGACGCAGCAGCCAAGTCCAACTCCTGGTGCTGACGACCATGTGAACAACAGCCTGCTCAGTTCTGCTCTGACCGGAGCTGTGTCAGTCCCCTTCCACCACCACCACCACCAACACGAAAGCCACTTGAGGAGGGAGCGCGAGACGGACGACCAGAACATCTCCATCCAGACCAGCACAAAGGCCGCCGAGATGTCGGTCGCGCCCTTTCTCTCCGAGCACATTCCCACCCAATACAACCCTATCGGCCAACCGCGCCCGCACTCTTTGCTCGCCCAAAACGAAGAGGAGGAGAAGTTGAGCACCAAGTTCTGCTACCGGCATCGCCCCGACCTCAAGTGTCGCCGCCAAGCCAACGAGCCGTCCATGGAGCAGCTGCAGGACGAGTTGTCGGGCCTCTCACAATCTGATCAGCAAGCCATCTCCCACGTCTGGTCCCTCTTCTCCGCCGCTCCCGCCAAGCACCGCAACCTCATGCTGCAGGGTATCCTCACCCAATGCTGCTTCCCGCAGCTCTCCTTCATCTCTGCCAATGTCCGCGACCTGATCAAGATCGACTTCCTCTCAGCACTTCCTCCTGAGCTCGGCTTCAAGATTCTATGCTACCTCGACACTACATCGCTATGTAAAGCAGCGCAAGTCAGTCAACGATGGAGGACTTTGGCGGACGACGACGTGGTCTGGCATAAGATGTGTGAGCAGCACATTGATCGAAAATGCACCAAGTGTGGCTGGGGCTTGCCATTACTCGAGCGAAAGAGGTTGCGCATCGAGAAGAGACAGATCCAGCTGCGAGCGACAGGAAGAGGTTTGAATCAATGGTCACCAGATATCACACCAATCCCGGAAGGAGCAGCAATGCCGCCGCCGCCGCCAGCCGAAGAAAACGAGGCTGGCAGCAGTCGTGGAACGAAAAGATCATTCCAAACGACACCAGTATCGCCCGAGGTCAGCAAGCGCCACTGCTCTACCTCGTCTCAAGACATCTCCGAAAGCTATTTTGCTGCACGATCGAACAAGCGGCCATGGAAGGACGTCTACAAGGACAGATTCAAGGTTGGAACCGCTTGGAAATATGGAAGATGTAGCACGAAAGTCTTCAAAGGCCACACCAATGGCGTCATGTGCTTGCAGTTCGATGATAATGTCTTGATTACAGGTTCATATGACACAACGGTGAAGGTCTGGGATATCAATACGGGCGAAGAGCTTCGGACATTATACGGTCACACCAGTGGGATTAGGGCGCTGCAATTTGACGACAAGAAACTCATGACCGGGAGCCTTGACTCTACGATGAGGATGTGGAATTGGAAGACAGGAGAATTGTTGAGAACATTTCCAGCACACCAGGACGGCATCATCACTCTTCATTTCACCGAAGGCTATGTCGCCACTGGATCCCGCGATCGCACAGTTCGCGTGTGGAACAACACCTCCAAAGCAACATTTGTGCTACGAGGACACACCGATTGGGTCAATTGTGTCAAGATTGATCAACCTTCGAGGACTCTATTCTCAGCATCCGACGACTTGACCATCCGCCTTTGGGATCTCGACACCCGCGAATGCATAAGAGTTTTTGCGGGCCACGTTGGCCAAGTTCAACAAGTTGTGCCGATGCCCATCGAATTCGAGCTGGATGACCACGCACTTACGCCTGGTGACCAAGACGACGATGCTAGTAGTGTTAGTTCCGTCACCATCGCTCCTTCCCACCAGGAAATCCGGGGGTCTACTTCTGACGCAGTAGAGCCTTTCTGGCCACAAGACGCCGACCGCCCAGCACCCCCACGATACATGTTGACAGGTGCGCTGGACTCCACTATTCGCTTGTGGGATACACATTTCCGACCGGCCAAGACTCGCGAGCCAACTCCACAACCTGAATCGAACTCCGAAATTGACATGCTGCCGATCGATCCCTTGATCAACTCGCACACGCCAAGATCTCAAGCCTGTGTCCGTACATTTTTTGGGCACGTTGAGGGGATCTGGGCACTGTCGGCTGACCACTTACGTCTGATCTCTGGAAGCGAGGATCGCATGCTGAAGATATGGGACCCCCGCACGGGGAAATGCGAGAGAACTTTTACTGGTCATCAAGGTCCTGTCACATGCGCAGGACTGTCTGACAGCAGAGTCGCCAGTGGCAGCGAAGACTGCGAAGTGAGGATGCTCTGCTTCGGCGAAGTGAGCTGAAGAGAGACAGTTGAATACAGGTTTTGTGATGAAGAAGTGTTGGATTAGCGAGGCGTTCAGTGATATACAGAAAGCGTTTGTGGATACGACTTACTCAGGCGTCAAATTGCGACGCAAGCAATGGATAGATACCCTTTCGTTGTAGAACTTACTATATCAAATTGATTTGATCGCGTCTATACCACCTCACAGTCGTTCTGGTATTTTGCTCCTCCCTGCCTCGTCACGAGACTGCCAACTTTCCCTAAGGTCGTGAGGCGAAATCCGATGGTATTATGAGCGCGCCTGCCCGATCAAAACACTTTCTACAGAATACAAACCTCCCCGATTTTCATCACAAGCAACATTCTGGTCAAGCCGAGAAAGCAGACAAGAAATTCAAAATGGGCTCCGTGGAATCAGAATCAGAAGCTCCTCATCAAGCCGTCAGCGTCTCCCTCCAATCCTTAAAATCCGGCACCGTCTCTTTGGAAACCCTAGAACAAGCCTTCGGACCATCATCTTTGGGAATCATCCTCGTATCAGACCTCCCACCAAAATATCTCTCTCTCAGAAAAAAACTCCTCTCCTACTCCTCGTATCTCGCAAATCTCCCGGCCTCAGAATTACAAAAAGTCGAAATCCCATCCGCACGCTACAACATTGGTTGGTCCTGCGGAAAAGAAACACTTTCCAATGGGAAATTCGATACTTTGAAGGGAAGTTACTATGTTCAACCTATACATAATGCGGAACTTGAGGAGAAGGCGAGGAGGGAGTACGGGGAGAAGATTCCTGATATGACGACTGCGAATGTTTGGCCTGATGAGGCGGTTTTGCCGGGGTTTGAACAAGTGATGATGGAGGTGTGTGAATTGATTGTTGATGTTGCTGGGTATGTGGCGAGGAGTTGTGATCGGTATGGGAAGGAGAAATTGGAGGGGTATAGAGAAGGGACTTTGGAGGAAATTGTGAGGGGGAGTGTGAGTACGAAGGCGAGATTACTTCATTACTTTCCCCCACCGGAAGGCGATGGTGAGGAGGAGGAGGAGGAGAAGAATGATGATGATGATTGGTGTGGAACTCATCATGATTTAGGAGCTTTGACTGGTTTGACGAGTAACATGTACGTGGATGAACATGCGAATCCCCCCTACGCAAAGCCGGATGGTAACGGTGCTTTGCTGCCTGATCTACCAGAATTGGAAACGCATCCGGATTCTCAAGCTGGACTTTGGATTAAAGATCGGAGTGGGAAGGCTACGCAGGTTCATATCCCCAGAGATTGTCTGGCTTTCCAAACCGGAGAGGCATTACAGATGATCACGAGGGGGAAATTCAGAGCCGTACCACATTTTGTTCGAGGAAGTAGTAGTCGAGCTGGTGGAGGAAGGATTGCTCGGAATACTCTGGCTGTTTTCACACAGCCTAATTTGTGGGAGGTTGTGGATGAGGAGACGGGATTGGATTTTGCGGGACTTTGTGGGCAGATTTTTTCGAAGACGTATTGAAGCTCAGTCTGCACAGTTGATATTGAGGTTGCTGAGAACGTTTGAGATCTCTTCTGCCTATGACAGAGCTGCTAGGGCATCGATGAATTTCACGAGAATTGGTTCGAGATTCGTTCCGTGCAGTCAAGTCGGCGGGCGTTCTTGGGCCTTTGCTCTAGCCCCTGCCCGTAAGAAAATGCTCTATTGCTATTGGATAAGTATTCTAGGCACGACCATGAATGCTTCCAGGGGGTCACTGCGCCAAACTGTCCAGCTTACTTTCTTCCCAAGCGTTTTCCATCACTAATAAACCATCGAACATGGCAGCGACATCAAATTGGCCCAATGGAGCTCGTGCAGCTATTGCGCTGACGCTGGACAACATGGGAGAAGCTGCTGATCTGAACCGAGGTCTTTGGCCAGAATCGCAGCCGATCGGATCGCATTATTCTGTAACTGAAGCATTACCCAAGATCCTCAATCTACTCAAGAAATACGACATCCAAGTCACCTATTTTATTGAGAGCTGGAACTTGGAAAGATATCCTTCTGCTATTGCCGACGAAGTAGCTGGCGCTGGCCACGAGGTAGGATGGCACGCATATCAGCATGAAGCTTGGTACCAGTTAGATGCGGCTGCTGAACGCGAGAATTTCAAGCGCAGCTTTGATGCCTTGAACGAGTTCATTGCCCCTGGATCTCCTGGCGAAGGTAAGGTCGGTCTGTACAAAGGCTTCCGGCCACCCGGCGGACCCATTCATCACCCAAGAACTCTCGAACTTTGCCACCAATACGGCCTTCAATACATCAGCGCCGCTGCTGAGCATGCAGCATTACAAAGCAGTCTTGCTGTGCTCCCATATAGGTGGCGGAACGTGGATGCGTACTTCTACATGGACACCTTTGGAAAATTGCGAATTCTGAAAGGAGAAAATGACAGTAAGCCTATTGGCGAGCATGAACTGGTGCGCCGATGGAAAGCAGACATTGATCACGCCATTGAACGAGGAGAATTCCTGTCAATGTTGTTTCATCCATTCCTTACGACAAGCGAAGAAAGACTCAGTGCAATCGAAGACGTTGTCTCTTACTTGGCACAGAAGCGCGACGAGGGTGCTATATGGTTCGGATCCCGGGAGCAATCTTCATACATTTAGCCGATGCTGACTTTCTCAATATCTAGGTTAGCAAGATGTTGTGACATCGCTGACTACGTTTGTCAAAATCCTCACTCAGTGTCCACGGATCCTGTATGGGATAATGCAACTTGGCGATGAGAAAAAATACCCACCTGCACTTCGCCCTCGAAGCGTGTTCCAGCGGTCAGGCATTTAGACGAAGGCTTTCTGATAAGCCATCGACGTGTAGAGCGAATGCATGACTACATCTTCGCTGGACACACAGCCCCAGCCCTTGGATTGACCTAGTGCAGCTTTCACAAACGCGTTTGCTGACCTCGCTCGGGATTGAGCGCAGGAGCCTCAGCTGAGACTTTAGATCGCGGACTCTGTCGACTTTCATCTACAAGACGGATGCGTCCAACAAGTTTGCCCCGGTCCTCGGTGCAATCACACTATGCCGCTACGTTTGGCGAGGCTCCAACAGGTATCAAATCCCAGACGAAGCTGGTGAACCAGATGCCGCCAGTCGCGAAGGACAGGAGAACAGATCCCACTGGTTTCCCGGCAGCTGCTATACTACCCGGCTTCCAAGCAATCTCCGACCTCGAAGCAAGTGCGGAAATCGTAACAACTTCTCCATTAGGCTGGACACCGATGTGCCTCTTCTTGGGAAACAACTTTTGATCCATAAGCCGCAAGAGCTGCTCGTCCAGCTAATAGCGCTCTGATCGAGCCACCTTTACACTATTTGGAAAGTCGAGACTTTTCAGACTCATTACGCAATCACGCTGCAACTCCTCGGCCTTGTAATATATCCACATGCATATAAAGACCTTGCTGTCTTGCTGGCCGACGGCCCACTCATTCCTGCCTATCAAGAGTCCGGAGCGGGCCGATGCAAGAGACCCAAAAGCATGATGGAGCCCTACTGATAAGGCAGTACTTCAGAGCAGTCCGTTGCAGTCAGAGTTTCGATGAAGAGTTTTCCCGACAATCTATACCAGTCCGGCTGCGACTTTGATCAAATTCCCGACCTCTTCGCCCGCGGATAGTTCACCGTTACTTCAATTATCTAAGACCAGCGACTTCAAGACCGATGATATACTAGGCATTGTTGGCAAGACAGAGGGCAATGGCTGTGTGAATGACTTCTCAAGAACGTTGTCAAGTCACGTCTGGGACGAGATCATCCCGAGCACCGGCATTTCTGTCTTTTCTGGTGGGACCGAAGGAGTGCTGTCACCCCATGTGGCGTTTATCCTGGAGTCGAAACAGCAGACTGGATTGATCGCAAGCGTCTCTCGAACGTGGAAGTTGCAGCCATGGCAGATTGGAACTGCGGAGCATGTGTCTTGTGTTTCTGCCACTATACGCAAGATGCTCGAGACTGAGAAGCTGAAAGCAGATGATGTACAGCTTGTTCTCATCAAATGCCCGCTGCTCACCAGCGAGAAAGTTGCAGCAACTCTAGCGGCTGGCCAAAAGCCGATAACAGCGGATACGTACGAGTCCATGGCCTGGTCGAGATATGCTTCTGCGATCGGTATCGGTGCCGCGTTGGGAGAGGTCTCGATGGAAGACGTTCCAACCCATTTGCATTCTGGCAACTTCTACACGGCGAAAGCTTCTTGCTCGTCTGGAGCGGAGCTGGACGACTGCCATATCCTCATATTGGCCAATGATCCAAGCATCGACGTTGAAGCAGAACACGGCGACCCGCCTCCACTTATTCAGGGCTTTTGCGGAGTCATGTCATCTGCAGTCGATTTCGCCGGGTTGCAGGAGGTGCTGAATCGAGCATCGAGACCCAAAGCTCCTTATCGAAAAGCAAAACTGCTACAAGTCTTTGCCAAAGCCGAAGCAGATCCTACAGGAATGGTGGCTGGCACGTACAGGCATACAATGTTGACAGACAGTGATCTGCATAGCACACGACATGCTCGAGCTGCGGTAGGGGGTCTCATAGCTGGCGTCACTGGCGACTGTCACATTTATGTTTCCGGTGGCGCAGAAGGACAAGGGCCGAAAGGTGGTGGTCCGGTTTGCGTGGTAGCTCGATGGGAAGCATGAGAAAAATTTGGTATGTATCAGTCGAACAAAAGTTATTGTTTTTGTGATCAGTTTCTTACTAGCTCTGCCGTCTTCGTGTCCATCTGAGGAAAAGCACGAAGCTTAATGCTACGCTTGCGAAACTTGTAACAGCAACCCAGCGAAACTGACTGGGAGAGCCGAAAATGCCGAGTACAAGCCATCTGCATAGTTCCGATAGATCTATGAGAGCCGTTTCGACAGCTGAGAATTCCAGACGATCGTTTTCGGAAACATGAAGCTGGACGATCTGTTGCTCGACCAAAGAGAAGGCGTATGGTCCTAGTCGAGAAATGGCAGGACTCGCAAATAGCACCAAAGTCAGATTTGGCAGCGATGATGTCTCTGACGAAGCGTTCTGCAAGCCAGGGACTAGCATCAATACAGAGGTAGCAGGCACTAAACACAACACCTGCCATCCAAGCCCAAGCAGGCCTACAGCTGCAAGAGGGTCAGCGCGCTCTGTCGCTCGATCTGGTCGCTTTGATGACTTCCTGGCAAACAATGTGACCAGGAGCGGAGTTAGCACTGCTGAGCTGATTTCGACAACTGTGCTGGCAGTCCGCGCAGCTGTAATCTGTGAGAGAGGAAAATTTGCGATGAGCAGGTATGAGCTCATACTGCCGGCAAGAGTAAGGACCGAGAATGGTTCGAGAGTATATGCCACTGACGGCAGAAAGGTTGAACTTGTATAGTAGGCTTGGAAACTATGCAGCCAACGACGAGCAGGGCCCGTGATCAGAGTGATGAGACTCATTGCGTTGCATGGTGTCAGTGTTTGGTCCACTTCCAATACTGACCTAGAGGCCTGAAGAGCTGGAGTCGACCAGTATACGCTTTGAGTCAAGTATAACTCGATCGCAAGCGAAATTGCCTGCGTCAGAGCAAGGACTGAAGCTGTTATGATATAATTGCTCCTGCGCAGCTGGATGGCTTTGATTGCCACTGGAGCAACGAGCTTGGTAATGAGGTCGATTCGTTTGGTCGTCGCGTTGAGGATGTGCAGCTGCGGCGAATGTGGTCGTGATGTTGGTAAAAGGAAACTCTCCTCCTCTCCTCCCTCGTGTTGTCGAGATCCCGCCATCAAGGGCAGCCATTCTCGCTCCACCACTACCAGGTTGCCCACGGCGGAGAGTCGCTCGATCATGCCAAGGATCATGAGAAGAGCAAATACCACCATCTTCAGATTTGGATCGACCAAGGAAGCACCTACCCTGGGAAAGAGAAACATCCAGCACACTGAAGCGGCCATTATGCTGACTCGTTGGACAATAATGCAAGTCTGTACCGGTCTGAGTCTGGATTGACAGGCACTACACCACCTGCCCAGAGCCGGCGAGAAGAGTAGTGAAGCCAGATGACACGAAAGTCCTCTGATTGAAGCCGCTATTAACGTGTGAGGATATACCGAAGCCGTGAATAGGACCGAAGCGAATTCGTAGCTGCGGTTGTTCCACATAAAAAGCGCATGGCTAGTGTAGAATGACCATAGACTTCTCATCGTAACAAGACCCTCATCGCAATCAGTGTATTCGGAATTCTGCTCGTCGGTTACGGAAGTCCTGATTTCCTGAACTTCATCATGGTTCTGGTGTTTGACCTTGGCAGTACTATCGACTGTCCCATATCCACCCATACTGATGAAGAAGTCTTGGTTGCAAAGGAAAGAGAGCACGCGACATGGATCTTATCTTGATTCTAGCGAAGCTGGAAGAAATTTAGGCGGGAGGCGGAGCATTCGAGGAGCTTGCGACGAGAATGCGTAGCCGTACGTCTAAATTTCTGGAAGCGAGTGCGAAAGAACAGTTAGACTCTCCGAGTCTGACCTGTATACTGCATTATATATTGCATAGCGTTGTGTATGTGTTAGGTAAGTAGCGGAAGGGGGTTGGTAAGGAAGATGCGACGCTATACAAAGTCTAGGAGCGCTTCTTATTAGTCAAAATTCAAGAAGTTATTATATGTATAAAGCCTTAGGCCGCTTACTTTACCTGCATCTACCGACTTTCACAACAATAACTACTTCTATAACAACTACTTCTATAATAGTAACGACCCTACCCTCAATTACGAACGCGACTTTCGTAGACTACCGAACTACGAGTACTATTCTAACTATCTAACGCCGCATATACGACGCGTAGACGTACGACCTCCCTTAGAGCAAGAATCTCTATTATTCTTTATACGAAACTACTTCGTAGCTAAGATTAGGACGAATTTCGAAGGCGTCTCGGCATCTCCGACTTACGGGTCTTATATAAGATACATCGATGCTAACGATAAGTAAAAATGTTAGGATCTAGGGAAACTAGCTCTAAGCAATATTATCTAAAGAATGCTTGCAGTCTGTAATTTAAGAGCTATTAGGACTCGATATATTAACTTCTATATAGTCGTAGCTAATCCGCGGATACGACAGGAGCAAGATTACAGATATACGATACTGTTAATTCGGTATAAGCAAGATAAGTACTTAGGCTATCGACAACGTACCTACTATCGACCTTCGTTCTCGACTATAGAAGCGTATATAGGATTAGAAGATAGGCAGACTATAGCTAGAGAGCCGTACCGCCTAGATCTTAGACGATAATAGCATATATATCTACTATTCGCCGAGCTACCTTAAACCCTCTACGAACGATATCGGCTTCTTAATACGCACTCTAGCGTTACTAGACCTAAACAACTAGACCGATATAACTAGACCTAAATATCCGGACGAAGAGACTAGTCTCTACCCCTCTAACTCCGATGCTTCGATGCCTCTAGTAAGAGCAAGAGTAAGAGCGCTATAGAAGGACAATAGTACTACAGAACACCTACCCTCCCGTAGGGAGCAACCGCCGTCCGCGTAGGACCGCCCTCCGCGTAGGAGCCTATCCGGAGGACTAATACAAAAAGGAGCACTCCGCGCGGTAGGTATAGGGGTTTAGGAGGAACGACTATCCCCCTACCCTAAGCGCTAACGTTAGTAAAAGGATGTAGATACTAAAGCGGTAAGGCTATAGGGGGTTTAGGAGGAACGACTATCCCCCTAGCCTCTAAGCGGCAACGTTAGTAAAAGGATGTAGATACTAAAGCGGTAAGGCTATAGGGGGTTTAGAAGGAACGACTATCCCCCTAGCCTCTAAGCGGCAACGTTAGCAAAAGGATATAGATACCAAAGCGGTAAGGCTATAGGGGGTTTAGGAGGAACGACTATCCCCCTAGCCTCTAAGCGCTAACGTTAGCAAAAGGATATAGATACTAAAGCGGTAAGGCTATAGGGGGTTTAGGAGGAACGACTATCCCCCTAGCCTCTAAGCGCTAACGTTAGCAAAAGGATATAGATACTAAAGCAGTAAGGCTATAGGGGGTTTAGAAGGAACGACTATCCTCCTAGCCTCTAAGCGGCAACGTTAGAGAGGTTTGCAGGTACTACTAGCGCTTACAGCAGATAGTAGAATTGAATCGATTAAGCGCATTTCTAGCAAAAGCACGCTAACAAAAGTGATTAATACGATAACGAGCCGAGCAATCCGTACCGTTTAGTATTCCGCCGTAATAGCACGCTACTGTATCCTGCTTTTTACGTCGCACCCTCTACTAATGCCGCTGCCTAGCAAAAGATATTGCTAGCGTATATAGCACTAACCGAGTTTAAAAAGAATGTGAAGAATATTACTAGAGTAAAACTATAGAGCGGAAGCTGCGCGGGGCCTACACTACGGACAAATACGATTCCTAAGCATTAACCCTTTAAGTAAGGCGAACCTTACTACTCGACTTATAATCGCCTTAACCTATAGAAACTAGACGAACTGCGTTTTTTGGACAATCGAAGGCTGCTAAACCTAACACTTAAAGGCTGCCTAACCTAATAAGACTTCCGAAGAAGCTCGATAATATAGTACCGACAATTCCCTATATAGTTAGTTTAGAGGGCAACTAAGAACCCGGACAGCGCGTCTTACGGCGGTTTAAGAAACCTGCTAAAAATTACGACAATGCTGCACCCTAGCTTAGTTTAGAAGACCGAGTAGTCTATATACAATCATTAAAGGCTTGCTCTAATTTATAAGTAAACAATGCGGAAGAACTCGGGGGTTATATCACTTAAAGCGGGAGCAGAGCTACAAATACTCCTTACGTTCGCCTATTATAGCAGACAAGAACGCGCTCGTATTGTAATTAGACGTAGGGCTGCAATTCTTACATACTAATATAGCATTGTCGTTACTAGCGTTGTAGTAGCGCAGTTAGAAGCGTAAAAGGCACGTAGGCAGGCAGCGAGGTAAGGTTTAGACAATGCTATAGATTAAGCGTTTAATCTACGTACTAGAAGCAACATTAAGACTTCTAATAAGTTAGCAGGCTAATATGTCTCGACACTTAGGTTCTTTAATATTAACGTTAATCGAACGAGTTAAGTCGATTAGGTATATTTCTATAAAAACAACGCTAACAAAAGTGCTTAATACGATAACGAGGAGACCTTAGGCATCGAGCATTATAGGTATCGATACGATAGGGACATTCCGTACGGTAAGGGAACGGGGGGTTTAGGAGGAACGACTATCCCCCCTCCCTCTAAGCACTAACGTTGAAGAAGGAGCACTCCGCGCGGTAAGGGAATAGGGGGTTTAGGAGGAACGACTATCCCCCCTCCCTCTAAGCGCTAGCGCTTATAAAGGTAGGTTAGTAGAGACAGTAGTTGACACATACATTATAAATAAAGACAAAGGTCCGTACTAGTGAATTCTGTTATATATAAGAAGCCGCACTCTATTCCTATTCGGGCGTAGGCTTCTAACTAAGCGGTACTATAAATAGACGCCTTCTTTGCGACTTCTACTTCTCTTCGTATCTTGCCGCGGAACCTCGATACACCTACCTATATATATAAATATACACATTCTAGTCAATCCGAATACTGAATACTTAGCAACCTATACGACTAACTAAGAGATAGTAGCATTATAGTAGTACAATCGAAGCTCGCGATTTGCGATGCCTCGAGTACCTCCTATACTCTTGCCGCACCTTCTACCTATAAGAGCCTAGCTACGATCGAGCCCTATACCTTCTATAACTAGGCTTAGGTCTATCGTCGCACGCCCTGCCGTAGTACCGGCCGCCGACTCGAGCGAATGTTTACGAAGAAGATTAAGCCTACTATCCGCGACCTCGAGCTACAACTTAAAGATACGATAGAAGAAGATTCGACGTATAGCGCCTACGACTACGAGTATAGAAAGAACGCCTTCGATACGGCTAAGTATATATATCTTATACGACTTAAATACCGGATTATAAAGGACCTCGAACTAGCTCTATACGCTAGCGAGAACCGTCGCTATATCAACCTAATAGTAGAGATTTAGGCTATTATCTAGTAGAATACCCCTATGTATACATATATAGCGCAGGTCGGTTAGCAATTTAGTTATTAGTACGGACAAGTAGCGGCTAGAGCGCTAGGAGGTAATCTACCTAGCGGACCGCCGAAGAAGAACTTACCTACTAACTGCCCTAATCCTAAAGAAGAAGAGGATAATAATCTGAGCGAAGTCGGTAGCGACTACGATAGCGATACTTAGGTCTATACTAACCCTAACTATAGTAAGCGCAAGCCTATCGCGTGCTTTATAAACCCGAAGTATCCGACTAAGACACTTAAGATATGCGACAAGTGTCGTGCTCGTAAGGCTAAGGCTTCTTCCTTAAAGAAGCGTAAGCTAGATAATACTACTTCTTAGCCTTAGCCTACGCTAACGAAGCGTAGTCGACCTACAAAAGCAGTGTCGACACCTACTCCCGCACGATCGCTAATTATTATCTAGTCGTCTCCGGCTCCTATATTGTCGCTTAGTCCTACTGTTCTAAACCTACTATTATCTGCTAGCAGCAACATTAATGTCGCTCCTTAGCGTACTAGAGATCCTATTAAGAAGATGCCTCCTTAGCTAGATACATTTCAATCTTTAACGCCGCCGCCGCTACGTCCTTCGCAAGCTCCGCTAACATCCTTATTAGGTAACCCTAGAGATATACGTGCTCGTAGTTAGCACAGTAGCGACGATGCGGCGACTATAGCTACTCGTCGTATATAGACGTAGATCGAGCGCGCTAATCGTGTCGCTACTCGCGCTAGTAAGGCTATATAGCCTATGCCTACTATCGAATAGCTCCTAAGCGATAACTATAGCAGTAACGTACCTCTGTTATCTCAAGAGTTCGGTTTCGTACTAATCGGTCCTCCTAATAATAGTCGCCTAGATATATGCGAGTTCTTCTATTGCGAGATTTGTCTTATTCCGCGTAAGATCTCTCGCTTATACGAGCAGCCCAACTTCTGCTACTACTATGCAGAAGGTTATAAGCTTAATAATATAGCTATAATAAAGTAGTGTTAGATAGGCAAGTACGAAGAGGAGCGGTTCTAATTTCTCGTACCTAAAGGAGACGACGAGGTTCGCCGCGAGTTTGAGTTCTACTGCCTCCTACATTATATTAAGCTACCGCTACGTCCTAATATTCTACGACAACGTTAGGCACGTGCTAGTCCTACTAAGCGTACTAAGTAGACTACTTAAGACTCCGATCGCATTAAGCACTTTCTCTATAGCTAGGACCCTACTTTAGGCGATCCTTCTAACCTTAACGACTCGCCTGCTCTAGATAAGCTTAACTACCGTTTAGTTAAGGAGTTTTACGAAGACTTAGATAATAAGAAGATAGAGTACTGCTAGAATCTAGAGCTTAATAACGGCGATAGTATAGGCTACAAGGAGCGTTAGTTTAATATAGATTTAGACAACAATCCTAAGTCCCTAACCTATAAGATCTGTTATCGTTATCGAGCCACTCGCGACAACACTAAGCCTATTGGATCGCCCGATTTAATGTCCGATAAGAACCGTATAGATCCTAGACTATAGCTAACCAATCCGGAGACTAGCGAATAGTTGCCTTAACTTACTATAGTCGAAGAGCTGCTTATTGCTAAGCACTATATATACGTAGAAATGCGGTTAATTAAGGGCGCACAGTAGCGGTACAAGAACAACGTTATTAACTTTCTGCGAGATATAGCAAAGGTTTAGAAGCAGCTACCTCTTCTGCCTTAATACCTAGAGACTATAGTCCTACGTCTAGCTCAGTCGGATAAGGTTACAAAGAGAATCTTTATCCGAGACTTCAAAGTACGACAGTAGGCAGTACGTACTTAGTTAAAGTATCTTAAGGACAACAATCCTAAGTATGCAGATATCGAATAGGATAAGCAACGCATGTTATAGCTTCCGGATAGCTAGGACGGTGAATCTGTTATAGACTTTATATATATCGAGACCTACGAAGAAGATAAAGGCCCGCCGTTAGTCTCTTAAGAAGCTGCTAGACAAGCCGGTCTTATACAATCTCAAGCTTATACGCAACATAGTAATGCTAAGCCTAGTACTACGGAGGAAGAACAGACTTTCGCAGACTATCCCGTAGAATTAGCTTTACCTTAGGCGCATATGCTATAGAACTAGCGAGATGCTGTCTAGGCTATTATTAGTAAATAGACCGAGTAGCGGCAACGAGTAGAAGCGGAGCGTCGAATGCGATAAGCTTAGCTCGACGCCTCTAGAGACGAACAAACGTAGCTTAATCTGCTAGAATTTGACTCTATACTATTAAGTGAGTTTAACAATAAGCATCGCTTGCTAGCAGGTGCATTTCCGACATACTATCCTTAGGGCAAGGCAGACTATGCTAATGCCCGTTAGCGCGGTCTCGGATATAACGACTACCTTAAGCATATGCTAAAATAGGATAATAGCACTAGTCTATACCTATCTAGTGCTCGATTTGCATAACACGCTCGATAGAGACATGTCGCTCTAAACACTCTACTAAGACGTTAGACTATATCAAAAGCGGACTATATTATTTAGCAGAATCCGGAATACGAGGAGATTGCCGTAGACGATATACGAGCTACCCTTACGTCTAATAACGAGCAATCTCGTAAGCTTCTCTTAATAATTACGCGTAGTAGTAACTCTCTACGTAGTACTCGAGCCTTCTAGATCGGCAAGACTAATGAATTAGAGAATTACGTTAAAGCGATCGGTACTCCTTAGCTGTTCTTAACCTATAGTGCTACCGATAATTATTAGCCTAGCCTTTAGCGCTATATGCCGGTTATGCCCGAGGGCAACGAGTTTTAGCGCCTTAAGATTAGTCGGGACAACGTACGAGAGAATCTAGCTATAGCGGCATACCACTTCTATAGGCGCTATACTTTTATTATAGACCTGCTTAGGAAGAAATTCGGAGTAGAAGACTTCTAGAACCGCTTTAAGTTCTAGTCGCGAGGCTTATCTCACAACTATAGTATTGTTTAGCTTTAGTTGTATAATATTGAAGTATAGGATAACGACGGGAACAATATCTCTTAGAAGCTTCCGCCTCCTATTATATCCGATACCGAGAGCTAACGTTAGCGCCTTGCTAAGTTCTAGGGTCGTTATATCTCTACTAACAACCCTTAGCCTAGACGAACTAGCATTTAGCCTAGTAAGCCAAACATCCTTTAAATGCTATACGATCGGTTATAGAATAGCTAATACTAGCTTATATTAAATCTCAACCGTATATAGCGGCATACGTATAGGCATAAGTACTACAATCGGATAAATAATATAACTAATACTCGTAGCTGTCGGTTCTATTTCCCGCGAGCTATCTACTAGGCTATATATATTACGAAAGACTACAATCCGCGGCACTATATGTTTGATAGCGCTCGAAACGATAATCGTATAAACAACTACAATCGCACTGTTTAGATAGCATAGCTTGCTAATAACGATATAGCAGTCTATACCGATAAAGGCACTATAATCAACTACCTTAGCAAGTACTATATAAAGCAGGAGAAGCGTAGCGAGAGCCTTCTCGAAATTGGCCGAAAGGTAGCGCTAAAGGTTACCTCTAATCGCCTAATAGTACAATTCGTAGCTAAGATGTTGAACAAGCTTATCGGTAAGCGAGATATTTCTACGTAGGAGGAGATGCATCTCCTTCTTAAGCTGCCTCTTGCTTAGGGTAGCCGCAAGGTATAAGGCTTCGATTGTCGACTTCCTAATAACTAACCGCGTATTCGTCGATACGATCGGGTATAAGACGAAATCGTTCTATACGGCAAGTCGCTATTATAGAAATACATTACTCGCTTCGACCGCAACTAGGACACTACTAACCTTCCTAACAATCCTAGACTTACTCTATTCTAATTCGTGACTAAGTAGGACAAGAACAAGATAAAGAAGCGTCTACGAGCGAAGCTACGGGTAATAAATTAGTATCTAAAGTATAGTGCTATCCCTAATAGCTAGGATAGCACTTACGAAGACTAGTGTCGGAACAAGATCGTCCTCTACTACGAATTTAGTAGGCAGTATCCTATATTGCTATATACATTTGATAATAATCCAAACCGCTAGCAATTCAACAAGTAGTTAGAGGCCTACTAATACTGCCTAGATTATCCGAATCATTATTATCCTCGCGACTATATAGGCGTCAACCTTCTAGCACTATTACCTAATCTGTTCTAAGACGAAGTATATAACCCTAAAGTTAAGCAACCTAAAGGCGAGCTACTAACTGCTGCGCTGCCTAACCGTGCTCCTACTAAGACCGATGCCTCTCTAGCTAATCTTAGGTAGCGAGAGGTCGACGTAGAGTACGATTAGATACAGTACATTAGTAAGTACTCTCTCTCGGCTAATGCGGTACTAGCAGACTATTAGAAGACTAAGCGAGGTACTGTAGGCACCGATTAGCGTATTAGGATCAAGCCTAATACTTAGCAGCTAATTTACGCCTTAGTACCGGAGCAGCGTTTATAGTTCGACACTATATACAATTATTACTATTTAGTGCTCTTTAGGGAAGGTATGCTAGCGCTAATGCTTCTTAATATCGATAGGTAGGCAGGTATCGGGAAGTCTTTTATTATTGACCTCCTATTATCGGAACTAGAGCGGCTGTCTGCTTAATACCTCTAGCAACAAATTGCCGATAGTTAATAAGACCCGCTTAACGTTAGTAACCTAATCCTACGAGTTGCGCCTACTAGTGCTGCTGCTAATAGTATTAATGGAACTACGCTCTATTAGGCCTTCAAACTCCTACTAAACATACAAACGTATGTTCCTCTAGATAGTCAAGCACTTACTAACTTTTAAGAAGCAATGTACACGTTTACGTATATTGTTATCGACGAGAAGTTAATAATAGATCTTACTACGCTATACTAGATCGACTAGCGCCTCCGTTAGACTAGCCCTATCGACAAAGACAAGCCCTTTAGCGGCAGAACGATTATCTTATACGGCGACTTCTACTAGCTGCTACTAATTAGAGGAAAGCCACTATTCGGCAAGCTAATACCGCGAGAGACCCTAGAAACTACTCTCGGTCGATCTCTTTAGCATTAGTTCGACAAGACTATTTAGCTGTCTCAAATTCAGCGATAGCAAGGTACTAATGCTCGCTTATTAGCTTTTAAGGAAGTACTCTAAGGCCTTCGAACCGCACCTAGAGGCATACGTATCGAGTATTAGCAGACTTTAGTCGATCGAACTAAATCTAACCTCTCTCGTCGTAAGAAGGAGCGATTCAAGGATGCGATTCGCCTTTACGCCTATAAGAAGCAGGTTAATTAGTATAATTACTAGAAGATAAAGTCGTATAAGAATCCGATCGTAGTCCTTAACGTAGAGCATATTAGAAAGGACGCCTATAAAGCATTATATAAGGCAGGTAGTGCCCTTTATGCTAAGCTCCCTATATGTATTAGCGCTCGTATTATAGTTACGCAGAATCTCTAGGTTTAAGGCGGACTCGTTAACGGCAGCCTAGGTACTGTAAAAGACATTGTTTAGTCTCTAATATAGCTATAGGAGGGGGATGTCGACGATCCTGCTACTTAGGCTAGGTACATTAAGAACACACTTCCTCTTGCTCTTCTCGTCGAGGTCGAAGGCTATACGGGACTATTACTAAACTAAGAATTCGACCTAGATAGCGTACTCGGCTTACTAGGGAATGTCGTGCCTATCGTTCCTATAAAGCGAGAGTAGTAGTAGAGTTAGGGCGTACGATACTCTAGACGCTAATTTCCGCTTACGATCGTATATGCTATTACAGTCTATAAATCTTAGGATATAACACTCCCGATAGCAGTTATAGACATCTCGAAGAAGGACTTTACGCCTAGCCTTATATACGTTGCCGTATCGCGGGTTCGCTCGCCCGACGATATAATATTCGAGGAGACTTTTACCTTCTATAATCGCTTTAAAGGCAAGGTTTATAACAGCGCAGTCGCCCGCTATATAGACTACATTCGGCGTCGCCCTTAGCGTATAATTCCTATCGGACACATCCTCTCTTCTATACCCGCTCTACCCGACTAGGTAGCTATAATTGATTAGCGCCGTCTTAATAAAATGCGTTAATAGTATAAAGAGCGACAACGTCTCTTAGAAGAGTAGCGGTTACGTTAGGCTAAATAGGACAGTATCCGAGAGCAGCGCGAGACTACGGCAGCTATTGCTTAGGTTAAAGCACTTAAGCAACGAGAGGTATATACTAAGTCGATTGCTCTACGACGCAGCCTTACTAATATAGCATCTATATAGCAGGCTCGCCGCGCTAGGTCTATTTAGCTTTACATCGTTAACAAGCATACCGACCTAAAGCTACCTAAGTACTATACCGTAAGCATATTGCTTAGCGAAGCTTTAGTTAATATATAGAACAATTAGTATACCGAGCCGACTACTGCCTAGGACACTATCCCTCTAGTCGCAGATCCCGACCTAGAGTCTTCTATCGACATACTACTCGCCGATATACAATTTATTAAGCGCAATATCCTTAGTCTTATCCGCCCGGGCGAGACTATACGAGAGTCTAATCTTATATTCAGCTTTGCTAATGTCTTTAAGGTTGCCTATATTAGCGGCGACGTTAACGACGCTTTTAATGCTCTTTAGCCTATTCTCTCCCGCACTAATTATGTACGCCCGTCGCGGCGTATAGTTATACGGCTTCGTCTCGAGTATTTGCCCGTACCTACTTAAGGTTAGCGTAGACATATTATAACTAATACTAAGTTCTTCGCCGCTATAGCTCGCAATTAGCTACAGTAGTAGCAATAGGAAGGTCTCCTTAATAGCACGGATATAGTAGAAGGCATACAGAAGACCTAAGAAGACGCAATAGAAGATTAGTAGTATAAAGATATATAGATGCAGGATAAAGAGGTTAATACTAAGACTCTTCGTCAAATTTACGAAGCAGATTAACTAGCTAGATAGCGTACTAAACAAGAGACTCGCGAATAGCTAGCGATAATAGGTAACGATAATTAGCTAGAGGGTAATAATAATCAAATTGAGGGTAATAATACGGAAGAAGACGATACTATAGATAAGAGTTAAATAATTTGTAGAATAGTAGCATAATTAAGGGCCTTTAGTAGTTATAAACTAGGGACGAGAAGTAGCGCAATTCCGACGTTATAGTATCTAAACTATAGCTCCCTTAACATTTACTTAAGCTAGCTACTATAGAGCTATAAGTATAAATCGCGATTGTAAGCGGCTTACCGCTTACAGTCGCGATCGCTCTTAGCGAATATACAGATAGTTTAACGCTTATTAATAAGCCCTTTTAGTATAAGTTGTATAGAGGGTACTAACGGCTTGCTTTTAACAAGCCCCTTTAGCATAAGTTGCATAGAGGGTACTAATAGCTTGCTTTTAACAAGCCCCTTTAGTATAAGTTGTATAGAGGGTACTAATAGCTTGCTTTTAACAAGCCCCTTTAGTATAAGTTGTATAGAGGGTACTAATAGCTTACTTTTAATAAGCCCCTTTAGTATGAGTTGTATAGAGGGTACTAATAGCTTGCTTTTAACAAGCCCCTTTAGTATAAGTTACATAGAGGGTACTAATGGCTTGCTTCTAACAAGCTTACTTAGCATAAGTTGCATAGAGGGTACTAATGGCTTGCTTCTAATAAGCTTACTCAGCATAAGTTCTTAGCTCGTAGAGTCTAGACTGTTCTTTCGCACTCGCCGCTTCGCTGGACTAAGTGAGGCCTTCCAGCCTCTAACGATACCCTTGTCTTATATCCGATCATATGGCATTCTTGACACCCAGTCCCAGTCGGCCACGCACACCTGCGCGATACATTACCCGACCCCGCCTAAAGGCTACGTGTAGCTCTCTGCTAGCTGACGTTGACGCTAGTCATTCACTGTAATGCAGAGCTTCATCCCACGTCCAAGTATGGGTATGGCAACGCGGATCGGTAATTGGCCGGGTAAGAGTTGGTATGGAGCGGAGCTGAGCCCGATTTCTCAGTGTGAGCACATGTCTTAAGAAGCTGCAGATCGCTTGCAATGGACCTCACGAACAATACTCACATGTGGGTGGAATTTGGAGACGTGCTGCTCTTTTCGGGCTTGGCGGAAGGACAATTTCTCAGATGTACGAGAAAGCATCTGAAATCCTTGGCCATCAATCAGGACCTTCGCAGTCCAGCCACAGATTGTGGCAGCTGACATCGACACTCAATAACGTCGTTAAGGTTAGCGAGGAGAGAGACGACAAGATACTGCTGAGTTGGTCGCAAATGGCCATGTTGAAGGGCGGGCAACATTCACGCCTCGACCGCGACCATGATCACCGCCTACGGCATGCCGCCACCAGGCTACACCAAGCTGCCTCGTGGGCCTTCTTCAGAACGGCGGCAAGTGGTCGAATGCATTTGATATTCGTGCGGATAATGGTCTGTCCTCCTTGTTCGGCAAGATAGGCAAGGCAGGCAAGGCATGAAGACATGGCGACGTGTCAAAGTTTTGAAGTCCTGCAAGTGCTTGTGATATGCATTCATAGCTTACATAGCACTGTCAACAATCAATGCGCGTGGCCCCACTGAGTCAATAGCGGCAACAGCATTCCTCCTACAGTCACGATCGTGTCTGTCAGCTGCGGTCCGCTCGCTTTGGCCGATGAAGGCATCTGTGCACCATAAGGATTGTCCGATGGAACGCCTGCGTATCCATTCATCCCTTCCCCGTGACTGTGCCTTGCCGAGCTGCTCTCCTGCATTGTATGCATTGCCACGTATAAGAACGTGCCGCCTGAGAAAAGCAATAGCACGCCAGTTGCAAACTCTGTACTTGCACTTTCCCCAAACGCGCTCGCGAAGCCGAGGAGGTGCACACCGAGAAATGTGATTATTGCCCCGATCGGCGCAGCGAGCGAGAACACGATAAGATGTGCTCGCGCCATTCGTTTTGATAGTCCCTGTTTGAGCAAGACCGATGTAAGCCCAAATGCAGCGGGTGCTTTGTGTATCATCAAAGCAATGAATATGATGAAGCTGAGGTTGCTCGAAGTCGTGGATGATGCGCCGAGTGCGATGCCATCTGCTGCTGCGTGTATCACGAGCCCTATCGTCGTCGAAGCTGGTCTAGAAGTGTGACTGTGCGAATCAGGATCTACTCCAGCGAATGTGCCCGCGTCCGGTTCTGGTGGACTTTCTTCCGAGACTGATCTCCTGTTCAAGCTAAATTGATTCAAACTGATATGGAATCTCTGTGGTTGCGCTGGATTGCTCGCGTGTTGCGGGAGGGTATCGATCAAATACATCAGAATGAAGCCTAGAATGACTGAAATCCCAATCCATGCATGAGGTTCGCGATCTGCTGTGCCTGTTTTCGTTTCTCTTCCTGGCGCATTTTCTGGGGAGCCCACAGCCACGCCTAGTTCGTGTCCTGGGTCCGAGGATTCTGGATTTGAATCCGCCGCATCTGGTGCTGTTTGGAAGCCATCATCAGGCCCGCTGCGAAGACCTGCATGGTCTTCGTCTGCTGCATATGCGACTGGTATAGGTTCTCGTTGGTGCAAATTCACGAAAGTGGCTGGTGCGATTGCAACATTATTCCGCGTCGACAGACCGCGCTCCTGGTGTCCATGCGTGTTGCCTGTTGCCGCATACAGTGTTTCCACTCCTTCAGGAATGATGACAATCAACGATGTTCCAACTAAGACGCCTGTTCCCAAAGCTGTGATCAGGCGCAATTGTCGCGAAGACAGGGACAATGCAAGCGGTACGATGCCGGCGAAGAAGGAGCTGTGTCGCGAGCAAGATTAGATTGATGTGATGGTGTAAAGCGGCGTAGGCGACTCACGCAGTGCCCATGACAATGCCTAACAGCAGCAATAATAAAAGCCCGTCCCACATGTTGGGCTATTTCGGTACTGTGTCGCAGCGCACTGTCGCGCTTGTGATGTTTCTTTGCGCTCCCTCATGTATCGTCATTGCGCCATGCTCTCACATGCGTCTCCCGTGCAGTCGTACCGGGGTCTGTAAGAGTCGTGAATGTTGCAGAGTGAATGAGAAGGCCGAGGCGTGCACGCGATCGGCGATCGCTGAAAATTGTGAAGCTCTGAGGCTGAGCTCTGGCCAGTTGGACCAAACTTTGCCCATCTTGGCGGCGTGCTTCCAACTCGTGGCCTGGTCAGTTTGGCTTTTCTTCCACCAACATAGACCACAGCCTGGCTGCTATGTCGTCGAGAGCACGAAAGAGTTCGAAAGCATGCAATACGCTCATTCGCCTCACGGCATCGTGCCAGGCTGAGACTTCCAGACGATCATTGACACAGGAAGCCACCATGGTGCCGCTTCCCAGGCAGTATCTGCCGAGCCAGGCTCCGAGCTTCACTGAATATTCAGTCATCCGAGACGTCAACGCGAGGTACAGCAAGTGATCCGGATCGGACTCGCGCGTGCAAATGGGAACTGCGTGCGAGTAAGGTGTGATGAGCCACCTTGCCTAGACACTGTGCCAGTAGACGCAGTAGGTATGTCAGCGATTCCTGGTCGCTTGCTGGTAGGCTTGGTATTCTATGGAGCGTCTGGCACCAAGAGCCGATTTTCCGAATGACGGAGCCGCCAGACTTATGATAGGAGAGTTGCGATCAGTGGTTCTCGCGTTGAGCCGTAAGAGCATCTAATGCTGCAGCAGAGGAACGTACTGTAGCGCTAGTGTACTTGAGTGTTTGGTGACACCGTACATGTTTATGCGGCGAAGCCTCAAGCTCTGGCAGAAAAGCTGAATGCATTGTGAGCTACTGCCCACTCTCGCGTGACAAGGCAAACGGCGCAGCCATATTCTAATAGAAGCAATCGCGTAGGGGTTCGCGGCGCGCGGGCCGCAGTGTGTGTGTCTGCAGACAGACTGCAGACTGTGAGGCGGAGCGAGTGACGCCGTCCTCGCCTCTCGAATTCGTGCCTTGCCTTGCCTTGCCTTGCTTGCCTTGCTTGCCTTGCCTCCAGCTGCGAACTCACCACATCGCCGACCACCACCCCCTGCCCCCGCCGATCGCCCTCCATCCTCCACCCGCGGACAACAATAATACAGCAGACGACCCGCTGAGGCAGATCTTCGCTGGCGCACGGTGCATGGTCGATACCACATTGCAGCTTGAGGCACTGAGCGGCGGATAAGGTCACAATTCAAGCCAGCGCCATGAGCTCAGAAGTGCCGTCCCAACCTAACTTGCGGGTCACCAGTATGCGCCCGTCGAGCAGCGAGTGCACACGCATGGCGGACATATACTAACAGCGCGCGCAGTCATAGCAGCTGATGGCCTGTACAAGAGAGATGTCTTCCGGTCAGTTGGCCCCTTGAGAGGTCCAGGTGGCATGCTGGGTGAGTGCTGACAGTCTTGCTCTGCAGCTTCCCCGACCCTTTCGCCGTGGCAACCATCAATGGCGAGCAGACTAGGACTACCGGCGTGATCAAGAAGACCTTGAATCCATACTGGAATGAGAGCTTTGACATGTATGTTGGTTGGCGTCAGAAGCTGTAAACATGTACACCTTCTAACCTCTACGCAGGCGCGTAACGGAGGAGAGTATACTCGCAGTCCAGATCTTTGACCAGAAGAAGTTCAAGAAGAAGGACCAGGGCTTCTTGGGCGTTGTCAACCTGCGCATTGGCAGTGTCATTGACCTCGATGCCGGCGGGGATGGTATGCTTCACATCTTCCCAGTTTTGGCATATCGCTGACTTCCGCAGAAATGATCACGAGGGACTTGCGAAAGTCCAACGACAACCTCATGGTGAACGGGAAGCTAATCCTGAACATCTCGACGAACCTTCGCCAGCCGATCGCAAATGGCAGCCAAAGCAATAATGCCAACCATCCATCTGGCTCATCCGCTGGGCCATCCACCAACGGTGCACACACTCCCTCGACTCCGAGCGGTGCGCAATCCACTGCCTCGCTACAGGCTGACCGACCGACGAGCAACCCTGGCTCAGCTGCTGCATCGCGTCAAAACACCAATACCAATTTGAGTGCAGCAAATGCGACAGTCAATGGAACTGGCACCGCAACTGGCAGAGGGCAGTCCGGTTTCAGTGCCTTTGAAGATGCTCAGGGACGATTGCCCCCTGGCTGGGAGAGGCGAGAGGATAATCTGGGGCGCACATATTACGTGGACCACAATTCAAGGCAAACCACATGGATTCGTCCTTCTGCTGCATACAATGCGGGCCAGCAAAGAGCAGACATGGAGCAGCAGACCAACGTGGAGCGCCTCCGACATCAAAACCGAATGTTGCCCGAAGACAGAACTGGTGCTAATTCCCCCGCTCTATCAGATCGACAAGGTTCGCCTTCACAGCCGCCAGCTGCAAACGCTGCCAATGCTGCAAACGCTGCCCAAATGGTCGCGACTGGCGCTACCACTGCCGGATCTGGAGAGCTGCCTGCTGGTTGGGAACAGCGTCATACGCCTGAAGGCAGGGCCTACTTCGTCGATCACAACACTCGCACCACGACATGGGTTGATCCCCGTCGCCAGCAGTATATACGAATGTACGGCCAGAATGCGACTGGGAACAGCACGATCCAGCAGCAACCGGTCTCGCAGCTTGGACCTCTACCAAGTGGCTGGGAAATGCGACTCACGAATACCGCTCGTGTCTACTTCGTTGACCATAATACCAAGACCACAACATGGGATGATCCACGATTACCCTCATCGCTGGACCAGAACGTGCCTCAATACAAGCGCGACTTCAGGAGGAAGCTCATCTACTTCCGATCGCAACCAGCCCTGAGGATCTTGTCTGGACAATGCCACGTCAAGGTTCGTCGCACGCATATCTTCGAGGATTCGTACGCCGAGATTATGCGTCAAAGTCCGAACGATTTGAAGAAGCGTCTGATGATTAAATTTGACGGCGAAGACGGTTTAGATTATGGTGGTCTTTCGAGGTACGTGAAGCGCATGCGGACGAGCGTTTGCTCACTGACGACATTGCAGAGAATTCTTCTTCCTTCTATCTCACGAGATGTTTAATCCCTTTTACTGCCTCTTTGAATATTCAGCGCACGACAACTACACTCTTCAGATCAACCCTCATTCTGGGATCAACCCGGAGCATCTGGGTTACTTCAAGTTCATCGGACGAGTGGTCGGCTTAGCCATCTTTCATCGTCGTTTCCTGGACGCTTTCTTCATTGGGGCATTTTACAAGATGATCTTGAGGAAGAAGGTCAATCTCCAGGACATGGAGGGCGTTGATGCGGAGTTCCACAGGACTTTGACATGGGCCATGGATAATGACATCACCGATGTCATTTATAGCACCTTCTCTGTTGAGGATGAACGGTTTGGAGAAAAGGTCACCGTCGACCTCAAGCCTGGTGGTCGAGATATTGAAGTCACCAACGAGAACAAGAAAGAATACGTTGAGCTCATAACGGAGTGGCGCATTCAGAAACGTGTCGAGGAGCAGTTCAACGCTTTCGTCACTGGCTTCCACGAACTTATTCCCGCGGATCTAGTCAACGTCTTCGACGAGAGGGAGCTGGAACTTCTGATCGGTGGCATCGCAGACATTGACGTCGACGACTGGAAGAAGCATACCGATTATCGCGGTTACACGGAAAATGATGTTGTGATTCAGAACTTCTGGAAGGTGAGCGTGACCCGTGTTTGAATGTAGTCGTTGCATCGGTACTGATACCATTTCTACAGGTCGTTAGGAGCTGGGACGCAGAACAGAAGTCCCGTCTCTTGCAGTTCGCAACCGGCACCTCGCGTATCCCAGTCAACGGGTTCAAAGACCTCCAAGGCAGTGACGGTCCAAGACGTTTCACCATTGAGAAGTCGGGAGAAGAGACTCAGCTGCCGAAGAGTCATACATGCTTTAACCGACTGGACCTACCGCCTTACAAATCATATGATGCTTTGACGCAGAAATTGGTGTGGGCTGTAGAAGAAACTGTCGGATTCGGACAGGAGTAAGATGGAAGTCAAGGTTGAGGGTGGACTGCAAAAGTCTTGATGGGCGCGATGGAGTTTCGCGCAATTCAGGTTCGGACGACGGCCGGTGCATGACAAAGAGCGAGTGACATGTATATACTCTTCTTACGGCGAAGACGAGGGCGCGAAACAAGATGTGCATAGTTATGATTGATTGCATCACTGTCATTCTCCTGCAGATCGAGCATGGATCGGCATAGCGTGCGTGAGAGATGTAAAGTCGCTATGACTGTCCTCCCAGATTCAAGCCTTCTAGACCAGGATACGATATCCAGTCTCCAGATCCCCACGGGCCCGTGAAGTCAATGCACACATCTCGGCTTGACTGCGGTGGCACTGTGTGACTCTCGAGTCTCCCGACTGGAAGTGTGGTGTGGGTAGCGCTGACCTTGGCTCGCGCGGAAAATCACTCGTCGGTGACTTGGCGCATTCGTAGCCGTGCAACTGCAGCCGTCGGCATCCAGCATGCCGACGGCACCACGATCAGAGTCGACGAGGTCGTTCATGAACCGCCTCAACATTTGCTGCCTGAGGATGACTGCGCAGAACTGCATGTGGGCAGCCGGCTCAGCTCAGCCCAGCATTTTCTGTGTGTGAAAGGCGGGGGAGGCAAGGCGAGGCAAGGCGAGGCAAGGCAAGGCAAGGCAAGGCATGCGCAATTTCTAGGCCATGACGATGCCACTATCCAATCACCGCTGCCCTCGGCCAAGATCTCGCTGGTCGACTCGACGCGAGAATTCGATGTCGCCAAGTACTCAACTGCTTCCTTCGCTAGACAGAGCCGGCGCCAAAGTCTCGTGTTGCCCTACCACGCCCTTCCTCTCTTTGCCATCCCGGCTGCCTGGTCTGCCCTCTCCTCCACCTCTTCCCCGACCACACTTTTGGTCTTCCGAACCTACCAACCTCAGTCATTGCGGTCGCCGACGCGTGGGTGTCGCGTGGCTGAATACTCAATATCTCTCCTCGAAAGTCTGAAGGAACCTCGGCCACGATGAAAGTAGCGCAATGTCGCTATCGAAGCTAGGCGAGGCTGAAGAAGAAATCACATCGGCATCTCGAGGGCAAGAGCGGGAGCGTGAAGGATGGGATTGGGCAGTGTGCGTGAATCAAGCTTAAGATGGCCGACGACGAGAGCCATGGCGACATACATGGCCGGAGCAGTGCAGTCCTGGCAGTCACTGTTTCGATGACGGTGCTATGCACCATCTTTGTCTCCTTCCGAATGCTGTCGCGAGCGGCCATCGTCAGGAAGATCATATGGGACGACTACTTCATGCTTCTGGCATGGATCATCACTGTCGGCCTGGCTTTCTCCATATGCTACGGAACAGTCAATGGACTCGGACGACACGAGGTCGATATCCCGGACGAATGGCAATCGACATTGCGGAAATGCAATTATGCATTCAGCGTTTTGTATCAGCCCGCGCTCATGGCCACCAAGACGTCGATTCTGTCTTTCTATTTGACCTTCTCCACCGCGAATCGTGTCTTCCGATGGGCATGCTATGGGACACTGTTGATCGTCAATGCTGGAGGCTTCGCTCTGACTATGGTCACCGTCTTTCAATGTAATCCGATATCTGCCGTGTTTCAATCCATCACTTCTGCCGGAGCCAAGTGTACGGACATACTCACCATCTACCTTGCATCGATCCCCTTGAATATCATAACGGATCTTGCCATCTTATTCCTGCCGATGCCCATCTTGACCAGCATGCGTTTGCCCAAGAAGCAGAAGATCATTCTTGTTGTCACTTTCGGCTTTGGTGTCTTCGTAGCCATTGTCGACGTCGTTCGAATCTCGTACTTGCAATCCGCAGCAGAGATTCGTTTGAGCGAGATGCAACAGGCAATATCCTCTGAAGATCCTGTGCGGAATGCAGAAGCAACCGACTCCTCATACTACTTGGCATTTTCCTTCATGTGGTCGGCAATCGAGGTGACAGTGGGAATCATGTGTGCCTGTGTACCTGGCCTGAAACCATTGGTCGCGAGATTCCTTCCAAACATGCTTCGAGATCCGGGTGAGGCACCATCAACGTTTGGATCCATCGCCTTACCGAACGAGGAGGTAGCCAAAGCTTCCTGTCCTCTAGCAATGCAGATGCCAGATGACGTCCACTTCCGAGACTTTGGACGCAATGTGGGCCAGGAGGAGGCAGAAGAAGAGCCAATGGGCATGATGGACTTTCTCACCACCCCAGACATGGCCGATTTCCAGCACCTGGATCGATCGCCAACGGCACTTACGAATACGACCCGGAATACGAGGCCTGAAACACCGACATTCTTCGACTTCGTTGATCTGGGAGAAAAGAAGAGCATAGTCCACATGACTGCACGCGAATCTTTCTTCCCCATTGCCGCAGTGACAGTGCTGTTCTTTGTGTGGGGCTTTGAGTACGGTCTTCTTGACGTCCTGAACTCTCAATTCCAAAGCGTGGCCAACGTCACCAGTGCACAAGCTGTGGGAATTCGCAGTGCATATTACGCTGGCTATTTTGCTGGTCCATTGCTCGTCGGTCGCTTCGTCTTACAACGATGGGGATTCAAGGCCTGCTACCCAATCGGACTCAGCATTTATGCTGCAGGATGCCTGATCTTTTGGCCTGCCGCAGTCCTTACATCCTGGCCCACCTTCCTGGTCACGAATTGCATTGTCGGCTTTGGACTTTCTCAGCTCGAGGTCTCTGCAAATGCTTTCATCTCGCTTTGCGGTCCAGCACAATATGCTGAGATGAGGCTGAATCTCAGTCAAGCTGTACAGGCTGTCGGAAGCGTGGTTGCGCCTCTGATTGCGGATAAAGCGTTCTTTCGCAAGTCCCTACACGTGCCCTCTCTGGTCAACACACAATGGGCCTATCTTGGTATTGCACTGGCGACAGTCGTCCTCGCAGTAATCTATTTTTATATTCCACTGCCCGAAGCAACTGACTCTGAGCTAGAAGACGCAGCTGAGAGGATGGACGGGGCGAACACAGCCAGGCTTGGAAATGTCCGCATCATCTGGTACGTCCTTGGCTTCGGCGTACTGAGTCAGTTCTGCTATGTGGGCGGACAAGAAGTAGTTGGCACGAGTTTTGGAACTTACCTGGATACCGTATATCCGAGCCTCAACCAATCCAACTACTTCGCAATCGCCCATACTGCGTTTGCAGTCTCCCGATTCTTGGCTGCGGGTCTGGGCTTTTGGATCAAGCCACGGATAATGCTACTCGCATTTTACCTAGGCACGATCATCTTCGGATCGCTATGCACACATTATTCAGGAGGAACTGGCGTGGCATTGATTGTGATGCTGTTCTTCTGCGAAGGTCCACTATTCTCGCTCATCTTTGCCCAATCTTTGCGAGGTCAGGGCAAGCACACCAAGTTTGCCAGCGTCCTTATCACAGCGTCCATATCCGGGGGCGCGGTCTTCTCGCCGATATCGACCGCCATGGTGTCGTCCGGACACAGTGTTCCATACAGCCTGGTCGTTGCAGTAGCCGCGTTCGCAGTCGGCATAGTCTTTGCTATCGGACTTAACGTCAGCCCTCAGGTCCGGAGGCTGGTCGATCCGATCAAGGATGTGACCACAGCTGAGAACTCGCCAAGGCCCAGCTCGACGAGCAGTAGAGCAAGTAGGGCCCTGAGCTTCTTGGCTGTTGGCAAGAAGCATAAGCGAGAGAGCAATGCAATCGAGCATCGGGAACGAAAGGTCAGCGGTGCATGACCAGTATGACTAACGATTGAGCGTGCATGCTATGAACTGTAGGCATACTTCGTAAGGCGTTCACGGTTGTTTTCACTATACATGGTCTACGGACATACAGCAATGAGCTTGTTCAGAGACGACGGCTCGCTTTGGGAGGTGAATATGAGCATTGGGTTTTTGGGGTCACATTGGATGGGACCAATTTGATTGGAGATGATATCCCTTGTGAAGCAACTTGTTGTATATATTTGTACAGGCATTTGTACATGATCGTGCCAGGCGACGGGTTACATGGCGTAGGCGAGGCACACTCTGTAAAGAGACCAAATCAAATGATACCAGCTTAACTCCGAGTTCCCGGTTGTACAACAGGAGGAAGCTCGTCGCCCTCCATTTTACCTGGCTTTGTCAGCAGCACACATGCTTCACTGCAGCTTCAGTTCTTGCAACGGCCATCGTACATGACGGAGAAGCATCATTTTGGGCTGCATTCCCCGTCAGTGGTTTGTGCCTGCCTCCACGTCAAGCTCAATGCCTAGGCGGCAGCAGCGACTCCCCTCATTGGAGTCAGTCATTCCAAATGGAGAAAGCTCTTTAAACCCGTTCCCCTCCAACGTCATGATCAGCATGAATAGTTCTTGCCGCAACTGCGAGCCGCGTATAAGGAAGCTGTAAGAACACACGACAGCTGTTTCCTCACTGAGGTGGATGCTACTTCTGCGAACTCTTCCTCGGACACTGACTAAAGCAACAACAACAGCACCGATCACACAAATACGCAACATGGAGGCCGTCAAGAACACTGTCGGCAAGGCCACTGGTGGTGCCATTGGCAACAAACTTCCAACTCGCAAGCTGGGAAAGAATGGACCTCATGTCACAGCTCTCGGTGAGTATGTCGAAGGCCTCTCCAGAGACACGCTGACCCTCGTACTCTCAGGCTTCGGCACCATGGGCCTGAGTGCCTTCTACGGCAAGCCGAAACCAGACAATGAGCGATTCGCGGTCCTGGACAAATGCTATGAGGAGGGCGAACTATTCTGGGACTCTGCCGATGTGTACCAGGACTCTGAAGATCTGCTCGGTATGGGGAAGAAGCTGCAAAAGATAGGTAACAGCGAGAGTGCTGACCATACTGCAGGCAAGTGGTTCAAGCAAAACCCGGGCAAGCGAGAGCACATCTTCCTTGCGACCAAATTCGCCAACCGTAGAGACGAGAACAACCAGCTCTTCGCGGACAGCTCGCCGGAGTACTGCCGACAAGCTTGCGAGAAGTCGCTTTCTCGGTTAGGTCTGCCTTTCATCGACCTTTGTAAGCCAAACCTTCGATCGCTCTTGTCTGTGACCTCTTCCCCTAACTTTTGCCAGACTACGCCCACCGCCTCGATGGCAAGACCCCAATCGAGAAGACGGTTGAAGAGATGAAGAAGTTGAAGCAAGAAGGCAAGGTCAAGTACCTTGGTCTCTCCGAATGTAGTTCCGAATCGCTCCGCCGAGCATGCAAGGTCGAACACATCGACGCAGTTCAGATCGAATACTCGCCTTTCAGTCTTGACATTGAATCGCCACAGATCGGTCTGTTGAAGACCTGCCGAGAGCTCGGTGTCGCGGTCGTAGCCTACTCTCCGATCGGTCGTGGTATGCTGGGTGGCACTATCCGGTCTCCTAAAGATTTTGAGGAAGGAGATTTCAGGACTTTCGCACCAAGATTCTCAGAGGAGAACTTCCCAAAGAACCTCGAGCTCGTCGATCGTATCACCGAACTTGCGCAGAAGAAGGGTGTGACGCCTTCGCAGCTGACGTTGGCATGGATTCTTGCTCAAGGTGACGACTTCTTCCCCATTCCTGGCACCACGAACATCGACCGCTTGGTGGAGAATGTGGGATCTTTGAAGATCAAGATCAGTGCCGATGAGGAGAAGGAGATTCGCAAGGCTTGTGAGAATGCCACTATCAGTGGAGGACGATATCCAGAGGCGTTTGGCAAGGCACTCTTCGCCGACACTCCACCTCTCTGAAGCCTGCTGGTGATGAGCGGGCCGAAGGTATGGCCCAAGGCATGATGCGTACGAAATGAAAAGGCAGCGACCACAAAGTGGTCTAAGTGTGACATCTCCCTCAAGTAGCTACATTCGAAGCCAATAGACATTACACTCCTGAACCACACAAGCTGATTCGTACAGACTGACACGCTTGACAGATGCGTTGTTGTTATGTCCAAGACTCTTGAGTCGTTCCCCAAGCAATAGCACCCAAACAATACGCACGCACGCGCGCTCAGCAAAATCCAAAAACGATTCCAAGTCAAGTTACTCTACAGGAGAGCAGCAAGACCGAAGATGGCGGCAAGACCGGCTGGGACTACGATGTTGCTGGCAGACGAGCCAGAGTGGGTAGCAGATGCACCAGTACCGGAGGCAGTGTTGTTGGCGGAGGTATGGGTGCTAGTCGCGGTGGAGGTGCCGGTGGTTTGGGCGGTGTTCATGGCGCCAGAGGCGGAAGCAGAGGCGGTCGCGGTGCCGGTCGCAGTCTTGCTCATCATAGAAGAGGAAGCAGAGGAGCCGTATCTGCAAGGTGAAAAAGATTGTCAGCACGCAAGGAAGGCGTGAAGCTTTGGTGGATTGAATACTCACGCTTTAGCAGCATTGCAGTAAGACACTGAAGTCTGCTCGGCGCCGAACTTGTTGGGGTCGCTCGGGCAGTTGTTGTAGCAAGTGAGCACATTCTGGGATTGTGTGCACATGCAGTCCCAGTCTTGAGAAGCGCAGGCCTTGAGCTGTGGTGTAGTGGAGCCGAGGCAGGCGGAGATGATGCTGGATTCATGGTATGTTAGCTTTCTCTTCGCATCAGAGCTGAGCGAGGAGAGTTGTGTCGTACGTGTCGATCTGGGTGCCGCAGCCAGAGGTGGCAACAGAGCTAGAGCTGCTGGAGGGAACAGAAGTTGTAGACTGTGCGGCGGCGAAGCCAGCGACGGCGAGGACGAAGACTGCTGAGGCGTGCATTTTGCTGTTCAAGTGTCGATGTGTCGTTCGCGTTGGTTCCAGATGTCGTTGTGTTATTATGTATGGTTTAAATGGCGTGTGGAATGCTTGTTGATCAACGTGGATATGGACGACAAGCAATCGTAGTAGAAGACAAGATCAAATGGTGATGTCAAGCGAATGTGATGAAGGTAGAAACGACAGGCTTCGCAGCAGTGGTGTTGTTGCCCGGGGCCAGAGGGAACTTGCACTGGGAAGGGACCTCGGAAGGGAGGCGCCTGCTCTCTGCTAATATAACGAAATTCGGTATACTTTCATCTCAGAGTGACACAGGCCTCTGGGGAAGCTCAACTGCTAATACGCACAGACTTTTCTGCACTTTATTTGGCACGCGTTCCGACGCCGGGACACGCGATGATTGGATCATTCTGTTCTCGAGAGTTCCGCTTCCGCCCGCCACAGGGCTCAAAATTGTTGGAATGCAGTTACTGCTGCAGCTACTGCAAAGAGCTCGAGAATAGGATATTGATTGCGTACTCTGTGGCCAGCTTGCCGCTTCATGCTTTCTCAACAACCTGATGACATGTACTCTTGTAGCCCAAGGAGGGACGCAAAGAGTTGTCGCTGACTGTGATTCGGTGTCACCTCCAAAACGGCTTGATTGAAATTAGAGAAAGTAGCATCGAGCTAGGCCAGAAACAGAGCGAGCATACCCCCGTGCCCGAGGGAGAGACTCACAGAGATCCTGGCCTGCGCCTGCTCGCCACTCGCCCTGCATCTCGCCAGACGGAGACCTCGCAACCTCGTGAGTCGTGATACTGTGGTATGTAGAATGTCGCGCCAACCCGTAGAACAGCCGCTGTATACTACACCTAGGCTCTACTGCAAATTTGTTAGTAAATAGTAGGTCAGCGGTAAGCAGACTGCTCCTTCTCGCCTAGTGTTGTTTATAGTATCGATTAGGTTTAAGAAGGAGGCTAATCTCGAGCCTATCGTTCAATCTACGCCGCCTTTAATAAAGCCTCCGGACCGCGACCAATAGCTACCTATATATAATATCGTTAAGCTAAGTTAGATAAAGGAAGTACGTCGCCCTCGCCGCCGTAAGGAGCTAGTAGCATCTATAGAAGACAATATTCTACTCGATACCGCTACTAGAAGCGATAGTAAGGAAGGCTCTATAGTAGTAAATAAGAAAGGCTCTATAGCGGTAAACGAGGAAGGCTCTATAGCGGTAAACGAGGAAGGCTCTATAGCGGTAAACGAGGAAGGCTCTATAGCGACTAACGAGGAAGGTACTATTACCGCTAATAAAGAAGACTATATAGAAGGCGCTAAAGAAGATAAGGATATAGAATAATAGTAAGAGGTAGTCGATTAGACGCTATCGCTTCTATAGACTATCTCGTATAGCCGCGATACGCTCGCTAGTAAGCCGTAGAAGATCTCTTCGGATAACGATAGTACTAAGTATAGAGACCTTTAGTCCGAGTAGAAGCGTAGTTAGTAGACAACGCTTAATATAACGAGTAAGACCTTCGAGAAGAATATACGCTTTAAGACTATTGCGAAGGCTAGTCGTTATCCGGCTTACCTCGAGACTACTATAACTAGGGGGTCTATTCGAAGGGCTCTTAAACAACTAGAAGAATAGTACTAGGCAGGCAAGAAGGGCCTTCTTCTTTAGTTAAAGGTTATATTAACTAAGAAGCTACTACTACCGAAGACTCTAGCAACGGCGGTAGCGATAACTAATACTCCGCGTTAGAATACAGCTATATAATAAGCTCTACGTAAATTAAGGGCCTCTTAGGCGGCTGCTAGCAGCGAGAACGACCTAGACCTAAATAATAAGATAGATAACGACGATACGCCTATACCGAGCGGCGACTATCGTAGTGCCTTATATAATCGATAGGCCTATATAGACTAACTTTGTAAGAATTATAGCGGCTACTATTAGATTAATAGTAAGAAGCGGTACGAGAACTACGTTAAAATAGGCCCTAATGCTATAATTAGATAGGCTAAGCTTATTCGAATAGGCTAATTCCGAGCGGACGTACTAGCAGTTACTATAAGCCGTCTAGGTAAAGAGATAGTTAGTAGGTTAATAAGATAGAAGGCCCGTAAGGATAGCAATAGCAATCTATTTGCAACTAAGGCCCGCGCTATAGGTAGCGCTATAGGGGTTGTAATATATAACTATCTCGGCGGTTATAGTAAGGGCGGCCCTATAAAGAAACGACGCACTTCTGAGTCTAGTCTAGTTAGGTTAAGCACTATAGCTCCTTTTAGTCCGATTATAGATAAACCTAGATATATAGTAACGCCGCCGGACGTCTAATTGCTAGTATTCTTTAACTAGTTAAAGCGATAAGACCGTAACGGCTAGCGAAGCCGCAAAACTAATATTCGTGCAATCTACGACGCTCTAAGTATAAGAGACTATAGCCTAGACTAATTAGCAACTATGCCGTACTCTAGGTAGATAGAATAGGGTTTAAAGGATAGCTAATACGGTCGGCTAATATATATATTACGTAAGTACGATAAGAACGAGCGATCGCTATAGGAAGAGTTGTTTTAGAACGGTAGCGCGTAGACTACTATAGGTCGAGGGTCGGCTTCGTAAAGGCGAGATTTAGTACTTTCTTTAACGTCGTATATCTTAGCGAGCATTAGGTATTTTTATACGGCGTAAACGGGAGGTTCTTCGTCGCTATTAAGAGCGTCGGATTACAGTTAGAAATATATTAATTACCTTACGTAGTAGTATTGTTATATACGACCGTTATCGCTAGTTAATCGCGGCTTCGCGTACTAATCCCGGCTTTCCGCGGAAGCCGAGCTTTTAGCGGTCTTAACGGAAATTGCCGGTAGAGAAGTTATCGGAAAGTCGCGAACTTCCGAGATCTTAGAAGCGCTGTTTCTTTACTATAAGTGTATATTTTTTTAAACAGACAATAGGAGGTTGCTTAGCGGCATCGATAGTAGTACTTCCTACCGAAGAGATAATATAGATATATTGTAGTAGTATTATAGTAATACCCTGTTAGTCGTTGTAGATTCGCGCTTACTAAGCGGCTTCTCTCCGGACAAACGCGACTCGAGGCCGCGAATAAAGCGATATACTAACGGCGCTAGCTTAAATAGCCTCGAAGTAATACTAGCAATAAGAAACAGTACTAAACCTACCAAATTCTAGGCTCTTTTATCGCAATAAACACTAGGGGTGTATTAGAGGTATAGCAATTAGGTATACTAATAGATTTAGCTAACTTCTCGACTAGATTGCCGATAGTTAGGGTAATAAGGATATTATCGACTCGTCTACCGTTATGCCCTCGTTACTACTAACGAGAAGCTCGTTACTATAGCTAGTATTGCTAGATCTATAGTATATAGAAGCGATTATAAAGGAGCAAGCTACTAAGGTTGCGCGTACTATTATAGAAGAGATAAGACGAGAGATAGAAGACTTAAAGGCTCGTATTACTAAGCTAGAGACTATCGTAGGAATAAGCGAGTCTATAACTAAATAAGTAACTATAGTTAGTTATATATAATAGCGGTTATTGTCTTTAACTAATTAACTACGATAACCGCACCTCTAGAACTACCCTACTACGTACTTAGTAATACTATTGCTACTAACCTCTATAATAGTATACTTAACGAAGTAGCCGAAGTTCTCGAAGACAGCGTATTCCTCGAAATAGTGTTTAATCTAGCTCTTTAGGCTTGCGAATAAGATCTCAATTAGGTTGTAATCTAGCGAGTATAGCGGTAAGTACTTAAGGTTAATACCCGCTATAGCGTAGAGGTCTTTAACGCGTTAAGAACGATAGATAGGCGCGTTGTCTATTATAATCTACTAACCTAGACCGCTAAGCTAAGGAATAACGGTAAACTCGAGCTAGTATTCGAATATAGCGGCAGCAATAGATCCTTAGATATAGAGGATACCTTCGAGATAACTACGCGAGGTTATTGCTAGTAGGACACTCTACCTCTTTAAGCGCTTAGTTAAGCCGTTATACTCGCATAGTTTATTAACCTACGAGTATCTAGTCTTCCGCTATCTAGTACGCTTATTCGTACTACTCTTATCGATATAATATATCTTATCCGAGTCCTTGCCTTATTACTACTCTTCGAAGTCCTTACGTAACTCCTTATTACGCTCGAGAGCCCTACGCTAATATACCTTCTTCGTCTATTTATTACGCTTTAGCGTATAAGAGACCGTCGACTAACTAATAACTATATCGAATATATTATATAGATACTAGATAATCTCGTCTTAGTAGGCGTAAGGATAGCTATTAAGGAAGTCGAGAATACGCTAATACTACTATTATTAGCTACGGTCGCGATTTTCTACTAAATATACATACCTGCTTATATAATAGTCGCAATACGCGCTTCCGACCGAGTCGACTTAAATTGCGTAAATACGGTATACTAAATAGCTCGTATATATTATAGATCTTATCGACAGTGCGCCTAGATAGGTTTAGCTATAAGGAGATCTTATTATTCGAGAGATTAGTAGTGTTAAAGAGCCGGAGAAGTTCCTAGACCTAGTAGAGTAGTAGCCGTACTATAGTAACTACGGTTGCTAAGCAAACAACTACTAGGACTAGCTATACTACTGAAATGGCGACAATATATATAGAAAGAGATGGAAAACGTTCTTAATACCTAAGCTAGCTTTTATGCTCCTATTTGCCTAGGTTTAACACCAAAATTCAGTGGCAGGCGTAGGTTATATAGAGCACTGAATTGGGAGTGCGTACACCGGCTGTTCTACGGGTTGGCGCGACATTCTGCATACGACAATACCTCTTTAAAAACCATCGGAGATAACTCACAGTGATGCAGATGGTGCTGTGTCTGAAGTTGGCCGATTGACGTACGGTTGACGTCCGCGAGAAACTCGTGTACTGCATGCCCTTGATAGCGATTGGATGGTGAGCGTCGCGGTAGGTAGAGGTAGCTTTCAGCTCACCATCAACACACGCCCTTTTGAGATCGCCCTCCTAGGCTAGTGCTCTGCCGGCTTTGCTTACTATCTCTTGAATGCACTCATCCAGCACTAAGCAGCGTGCTCGATCCAGCCTCGCCATATGCCGGTAGGTATTCATCGTCGGAAGGTGGACGTATATACGATTGTGAGGGACCCGCAAGCGCCTCATCACCACCAGCATCCTCCGGTGGCGGTAGAAGGATGACTGGACATTCCTTTGTCACTTTGACCATCTCTCTGGCCAGCTTGAATTGCATTGCGATACGTAAAAGATACTGCCGCGAAATTTTCTGATGCGCGAATGAGGACACATTCTGCATCACGGGGTCAGTCGTTATCGTGACCGAGTAATCCCTCTCCTTATTCAGCTGCGTGGATAGACGGGAATGCCCAGCAAGACTTTGAACTGTCCGCCTGTCGATACACTGCGGAGAGCCAATGAGACGATTGCTCACGTCCACGATTGTGTAGGCTCGAAGGTCGCACTGGAACCCTTCGAGCGTAGCCTCGGGGAAAGCTTCAGCGGTCGATTTACGGTCGTTGCGGCGAAGAACGACCTCGAATGTAAGCTGTTGACCAGGATGTATATATTGCTGATACGTGCACTGTACGTCCATGACGAATTCGGGGAAATGGCTAGACGTAAATACAGCCTTTGCTTTCTGCTTGAATCCTTGCGGCCGTTCTTCCACAGGTAGAAGGTACTCGTTTTGCACGCGAGCATTTTGGACGAAAGTAGTCCTGTTGCGCTCTATCAGAGCTCTGGGTGGCCGGGGAAGCTCAAGACGGATTGGAGGGCGTTCATCACCTGCGGGAATGTCGGTTTTGATATCGATGCCAGGCATAGTGACTTGGGCTCCAACCTGATGGAAGACGCCGACACTGACAACATCAGGATGGTCGACGAAATGCATCGAGAAGGTCAGTGGCAAGAGCTGGTCACGAGAAATGCCACTGCTCATCAGCTCGGCGTATCCTCCATTGGTAGGATCGTAGATGTCCTTGAGATCCTGAGGTAGATTGATGGCAAACGGATAAGAAAACTCCTCTCCAACTTGAGCTTTGAACGAGCCCACAAAGACATCGAAGACATAGTCGAACAGGATTTTGCTGTGATCGGTAGGAAGCCTGTGACTGTCACCTCGCCTGACCTTGATCCTGACCTTGCTTCGCAGTACTCCCTGCATTGAGATCGGTCCGAAGAGGTCGGCAGTAGGAGCATTGCTTTTCAGCAAACTGCTATGAGGCTTATAGGAGAGCACAATCTTGCCTGAGACTGTGTCGGTTGGTCCATAGTGTATTCTGAGTCCATCATCGATGAGTATCTGAGCTTTGAGCCTGCCGAGCTTTGCATTGGACATGTCAAGCGTGGTTCGAATTAGGGAATGATATGGTGGTGTCCAGCCTGGTCCACGCGTCTAGATCATGAAGCGGTGTCACTCCGACTTCTTTTTGCGGGAATCGGACGTCGGAAATCGGCATGCTGGTAGAGTATGTTGTATGTAGACGGAAGCGAAGTACGTACTTTGTTAAGTTTGTTTTGTTTTGTTGGTGTCGTAGTTGCCCGCATGACCGGGCGAGATTCAGGACGTCATCATCGCGTTAATTGATTAGCGTTAGTCAAATCCCATCAAAGTTCCGATTGGCAAAGTGCCGATTTGGCCCGATTAGCGGAACTCGCGAGTCGCGACGCGATTGCGGCGCGTTCGACATCATCAAAGAAGAACAAGTCCATCTCACTTTATCCCAACGACTCCCACGTACCCGTACCGTCTCGACCATGCTCGCCATAGCGCCCTCCTCATCGCCAAACTGCTACGCACCAACGCATCCCTCACCACTCTCCCCTCTCAGCGCAAACATCTATGGCCGACCGCGCCACATGTCGAATACCACTACCAACGCGCCAGAGAAGTCAGCATTAAACCAAGGAGAATCACAAACTCGGGAGAGTAAGCCCTCAGCACCCATTTTTCAATCCACAAGCGCACCACGAACGCCTTTCTCTCAACGACCCATCAAACGCGCCCCAACCTCAAATCCCGACACTTTCAAAGACAAGCGTCGAAGCAACTTCTTACGAAAAGTCTCCAATCAGCGCGAGGAGAGACGGTATGAAGCTCGAGGAGAAGATTTTATGAGATTGGATTTCATGCAGAGGCAACGTGCTTGGGAAGCCGAGCAAGAGAAGGAAGCGAATTTGGTGGCTTCATCACAGAAAGAGGAGGATGAGTCTGAGTTTGAGTTGCCTGGCTGGGACGATTATGTGCAGGCGCCAGCGGATGAAGTGGAGGAGTTTGTGAAAGATGAGGAAGCTGAATTGGAAGCGATGCTCGAGAATGTGCCGCAGCAGGATCAAGGGGAGGGTAGTGGGATGTGGAGTGACGGGGCAACGGATTATAATGAATTGTTTGATGAGGTTATGGCGAGTCAGCAAGGAAAACACCCGAATGTGCAGGTTGACGATGAGATGGATATGTCGTGAACACAAGCCTGGTAGGTTTCTGCAATGCGCTTTTAGCGAGGAGTTTGGCGTTGAAATTGATTGATTAGATCTGGGAGCGGAGCCAGCGAGAGACACGACTCCAATGGGTATCACAGCACGCAAGCGTAACGAAATCGCCACCCCAGATTTCTTGGCCTAATACAGCTCATCACTGCGTTGGACATCCACCATCCAAATCTCCCAAAGCTTCCTGTGCCGCAGACATGTCTCCAACAAGGTCCGAGGGTGGTGATCCAGCAGCTTGCATCTGTAATACAATGTCAGCAAATTACGCCCGAAGCCTGGGGTGACTCTGAGACATCTTACCTTCTGCATCCTCTCCACAATGTACTCCCTGTCATCCTCATTCTCATCACTATACTCCTTCCTCTCAAACCTCGCCACAATTTCTCCAACAAGTTTCTGTTGTTCCTTGTATCTCTGCATCTCGTCCTTGGGCGTCTTACCCTCATTCTTATTCATCCATTCCGGGAACTTGTCATGCAACTCCTTCATAGGCTCGTAAAGAATCTCCTTGTTCGTGAGATGTGCCATCATATTCATCAACATAGCATTAAATCCTTCTTCACCACCTTCACCTCCACCTTCAGTCAGTTCTCGCATCATCTGTGCCAAGATGTCCTCTTCACTCATGTTGCTCTGTGATGTGGTGGACTGTTTGGCTGTCGAATCGGACGCTTGCATTCGTTCCATAGTTTTGCGAATGGTATCGTTGAAGTCCTCTCCCTTGGCGGCACTCTTCTTCGAGGGCTCTTTCGCTTTCTGTTCAGGACTTTTCGGAGCAGCCTGTGCTGCCGCTCGTAAATGTTCTCCAGCTTTTTGATCACTGCCTGCAGCTCCCGCTGCCACGAGTTCCTGCATCATTTTCTCAAATTCTGCTTGCATTTCTGGGTTCTCGCCCAGCTCGGATATGAGGTTCGACATTCCTGCCTGTAGCTGGGCGGCGAAGTCTTCTTCTGAGCCTGCATCGTGGGAGATCTTGGGCCGGCCTGGACCTGAAGCTTTGGGAGCTGTGGTTGTGGAAGCAGATGTTGATGGTGTCGTTTTCTGTTCTGATACCTTAGCTTCTTGGAAGGAGTCTAACACATCGTCAAGATCGTCTAGGTCGTCTTCATCCGGATCAGGGGCAGATGCGGCCGCATTCTGTATGGGCTTCTCTTCCATGGTGGACTGTGGGAAGTTGGTCAAGGCGGGGTAGGAATTGCTAGTGAGGATGAGTTTGAGGCTGTAGGATACAGTACTCTACTACTCGTGCATATCGACTCGGTGGATGACGACCTGCTAGTCTTTCAAATGCAAGAGATTAGCGATGTGGGAACCAGGATGGCATATCAGACTCACACTCACTTCCAACTCGGACGGCGGATCACATGCCTCGGTTTAGACTTTGCGAGCTGGGGCCAACTCTAAACTAGGGTTGGCTCAAGGGTCTAGCCTGATGAGGCTCTGCGCTTAGGCGAGCGCGAAGTGAGCTTCCGATCTTGCCCTTAGGCAGTGCAGTGCAGTCCTTTGCTTCACTTCCGACTTCACTTGTGAGGCCGTCGCCTGGCTGCATACAAAGAGAGTTTCCGTCGCAAACAACTTCTCCAAGACAATAACCACAAGCCTTCTCTCACCCTTCTACCTCGGCCAGAAACATCATCATCCGTCCACGAGAAAGCATACACAACCGTCACGATGGCTCTTACGATCGCGCGGTTGCAAGAAGAGCGGTATGTAGATGTTGAAGATGGATATGGTGCGAACGCGCCTTCTGACACGTTCACAGGAAAATGTGGCGTAAGGATCATCCATTTGGATTCGTTGCACGCCCAACCAAGACTCCTCAAGGTGCCCTGGATTTGAAGAAGTGGGACTGTGCGATTCCAGGCAAAGACAAGACCATCTGGGAAGGCGGCTTGTTCAAGCTTGAGGTGGCATTTCCGGACGGTATGTTGCCATGAAGTGTACGGGACCTTGCGACAGCAGATCTGACGAGTTGCAGAGTACCCGACGAAGCCACCGAAATGCAAGTTCGTACCGCCGCTCTTCCACCCGAACGTCTACCCATCCGGAACCGTTTGTCTCAGCATACTCAACGAGGAGGAAGGATGGAAGCCAGCAATCACGATCAAGGAAATTCTGCTAGGCATTCAAATGCTTCTCGACGAGGTCAATCCAGAATCTCCTGCCCAAGCAGATGCATACAACCTTTACAAGAAAGATCGCACGGCATATGAGAAGAAAATTCGACAGGTCGTCAAGGATAACCCTGCGCCTTAGTGTTAAGCCGAGCAGTTTTCACAGCTTCGACCTGGCCAAAGAAAACTCGACACCGATGCTGAGTGTCTGGATGCTCTGTGCAGCAGGTGCCCTTCAGAGCCTCTATGAACGGTACAAGAGCGATCGCCGATGGGCACGTCTGTCATCATGAATGACACTGACCGCTATCGCCACGGACAGGCTGCGGAAATGCAGATGCGATTTACATGACTGAATAATAATGGACTTAGCGTTGGCGTTTGGGAGTGTGAACGAGCATGACCTTACGGATGAATGACACGATGCTATGGGATTTGAGGAAGGCGAGATCAGATCGATCTCACTAAAAGGCGTGTAGCTAGAACAGTCTTAAGTTGTATGCTGGCCCTCCACGGGCCAAGCCCAGCTGGGAAACTTCTTCAGATTCGCTTCTGGAAGGTGCTGAAATCAACGAGACGTTATCAAGACGACCGCAAATTATCTATCCCTCTCCATTTGCCTGGATTGTTCAAGTCCTCGTTCTCGCTCACATGCTTCAGCACGTGCCACTCAGATTCCTCCGAAAAATAAAATTGTCGGACCAAAGCGCGTGAAAGTACCGACGGGATGAGCGCATCTTCCCTTCCTAAACTTCCTGGGGGATACTCTTTCGTTTGACCTTTCTCTCTGCTGTTAGATGAGTGCCATCCTAGAGCCTCCCACAAAGGCTTTACACATAATTGATACAATGCGATGAAAGCTGTATCATCGCCGCTATGGTCGGCGATCTCCCGCTCGAGTCCTTCCTGGACCTGTCGTCAATGCTTACGATCTCAACGGCATAGTCCACATGCGCCACGGCTCCAGCAGTCATTACAGCAACAGACACAACGACCGCCGTTCTCGACCAGTCCTGTTGCGCAATTTGGACTGGGCCAGCATGTGCGATCACAAGCAGGCAAGAGAGCTTGGAGGGAGCGTGTTCGAGAAGAATGGGAGGAGACAGTGCGCAACCCTCGGAGGAGAAAAGTCGCGATATGGACGACAGTAGCGTTCGTTTCATTTACAGCTGCATTGGCCTTCAGTGAGCAGGCTAGGCACACATATATCGCTGCGCAAAGATGTGGGAGAGTGGGAGTTGTGCTCTACATGAATATTGCCGAGTAAGTGCATCTAGCCACGAGAACATTTGAGCATGGAAGCTGATAATAATGCTTCAGCTACCGCAAGATCCTTAAACGAGAAGACTGGGACGATCCGAAGTTCCAGGAGGACATTTCAGCATGTCATAAGCGATGCGCTTTGCGAACCCTTCACGCGATGGAGAAGAACGGCAGTATCTTCATCAAGCTGGGACAACACTTGACTTCGCTGAACTATCTCCTACCCAATGAATGGTGCGATACGTTTATTCCACTCCAAGACAAGTGCCCAGTATCTAGCTTTCCGAGCATAGACGAGATGGTCAAATTGGATACTGGCAAGAGTTTGGAAGACTATTTTTCTGAATTCGCAGCAGAACCGATCGGCGCTGCTAGTCTGGCGCAAGTTCATATTGCGAGGCTCAAAGATAGTGGCGAGCGAGTTGCCGTCAAAGTACAGCACCCAGGTCTGGATGAGTGGGCAGCCCTCGACATGTGGCTCACGACGAACACTTTTCGGACGCTCAAATACTGGTTCCCAGAATACGATCTCACCTGGCTGAGCGATGAGATGGAGGTCAGTCTGCCCAAAGAGCTGGATTTTCGGGAAGAAGGGCGAAATGCGAAGAGGATGAAGGAATATTTCAGAGATCACGTTCCCAACTCGCCATTGATTATACCCGAGGTGAAATGGGCGGAGAGGCGAATTCTGGTCATGGAGTACATTACCGGGCACAGACCCGATGATCTCGAGTATCTGGATGCTAATGGTATCTCGCGAGATGAAGTATCGGCGGCATTGGCACGAATCTTCAACGAGATGGTCTTCGGCGACGGCGCACCTCTCCATTGTGACCCTCATGGCGGCAACCTTGCTATACGAATCAATGACAACAAACGGAAACCTCGAAACTTCGATATCATCTTGTACGATCACGGACTCCATAGAGAAATTCCACAAAACCTTCGCCGAGCGTACGCACATATGTGGCTGGCTGTGCTTGACACCGACATTCCAAAGATGCGGAAATACGCCTACGAGATCGCAGGCATTGGCGATGATGAGTTTCCAATATTTGCCAGCGCCATCACTGGTCGGGACTACACTGTTCTCACCAATGATGTAACCGCCGAACGCAACGCAGAAGAGAAACGCTCCCTCACCGACCAGCTTGGGGAAGATCTGATCGAAAAGCTCGTTGGTCTTCTCGGCCGCGTCCCCAGGATCATTCTTCTCATCTTAAAGACGAATGACTTGACCAGGAGTCTAGACGAGAACCTACACACTTCACAAGGCCCAATTCGGAGTTTCCTGATCTTGGCACGATATGCAGCTCACTGCGTATATAAAGAACAGCTGGAGAACATTCGAGGGAGCTGGATCTGGCCGAGCAATATCCTGCGGCTTAGTGGAGCTGTGTTTGAGTATGCAAAAGTTGCGCTGAAGCTGAGAATATATGAGTATTACCTTGCTGCTAGAAGGAGATTGGGCTTTGCTAATGTGGCACCTCCTGTATAGATAGGTTGTGATGAAGGATAAATTGTACATATGGGAAAGCATCAAACATCAGGATCAGCGAAATGTGTTCGAGTGATTGATATTGAACAAGTTAAGTGCTGTCCTGGTGCGACTTTGCATCTTAACATTCCCTTGCTTGCACGGTAAAGAGGAAATTGATCACCGTTCGACCAAGATGTGACTCATGTAATCTTGTAGGTATCAATGGGGGCATCGGTATAGCAGCTGCTTACGTAGTTTTTCTCTCCGTCGAAACTGGCGAGTTCGTCTACCAGTCGTGTAGTCGAGCTTATATAATAGTCTAGTATATCTGCTCGTTTTCGCATAAACACAAATCATTATAGAAATAAATACCGACTCGGCTAGGAAGAGACGAGAATAGCAACAAGTGAAGAAGATGTCAAATCTTTAATGTCTAGGCAGTCAAGACTGTCAAGGTTCGTGCGGTCGCATTCTTGGTTCTATTTTGTCCTCTCTTCTTGCTGACTCGGCCGCTGTGAATTATGTTGGTTCCGGACCCTGAGATTTGATTTTCTGTTGCATTATTACATAGCGACACCGAGGTCTGAATTGCCGAGTGCACCGAAATTTCCGTTGATTAAGGAGTTGCATTCGGGCCCCAGAATCCTCGATCATCCATGGACTACCGTATCATCATCATCATCGCTGGGCTGGACCCTTAAAAGCCACCCTTCTCTTGGGTCCCCTATATATGCACTATGCACAAAGTTATGTAGGAATCTTGCCGACTTCCGTGTGATGCTTGGCAAAGACATCGCTTGGTGCTGACTTCCTAATCAGTATGTTTCTTGTCGTTGAACTTCATATCCCTTTCATTATTATATGGTATTCCCTTGCTGCTCCTGAAAATGCTCGCTCGCTGTCCCATAATAATGCGCCCGTGTTAATGGATGATTGCTGCTCCGCGGAGTGGTATGGAAATGTCAGCAGCTATTGGTCAATTCACCTGGTCGGGATCAACCGTATCGAAGAAATGCCCACCCTCTTTTTTCCTTGCATTTTGGCAAGGAACTTGCTCGCGTCGTATGCTCAATAATGCTCCATTCCTGTTGTTGTGCTGTGGTCCTGTCACTTTATTATGGCTGTCATTGCCATCCCCAATTCTCCATTCCGCTCATGTTTTCGTCAACGTGGCCTGGGTCGGATTGGTGTCTGTACGGCGTCTGTTCTGTGGGAGGAGCCCCAAATGAAGGCCACGGCTGATGGCCGCCGAACTGGGAGATGTCCAGCATCGCCGGGCCCAGAGCGTGTTGCGCGATCGGCATGACTTGCGTGGGAAATGGAGTCCAAAAAGCCATTTGTGCTTGACTCGCATCCAGCTGAGTCTGTGGATCGCTGTAAAATGTAGGTACTGATGTTGGTGCCCGCTGCTGGTTGTGTATCTGTTGATGCGGATGCTGAGCAGGCGGCGTAAAGGGAGACTCATGCACAGTAGACTCGTTCGATCGGTTGCGACCCTCCGAGGATCGTTTTCGCGGGATCGACGCAGCATAGAATGTGGACGGAGGGGGAGATGCCACGTCTCTTTGAATGCCCAAGCGATATGCTGCTACGGTGGCCGCGCCTTCTGGGAGAGCAATATTCCATTTGCTGGAAAGTGATCTGATGATATCAACTGCGCGGGCAGCGAAGCGGTGGTTAGTGGACATTGCCTCCAAATCGTGTAACCCTTGACTAAGATTCGCTGCAGCTGATTCGGAGGGAAGATTGAGCAAGTGGATGGTACTTGCCGAGAGTAACAAGCTGGTAACCGCTAAGCACACGCGCCGGAGGCCGTACATGGCGCGAAGAGCGTTCATCAGCTTGGAGATCTCATTGGCGCAGAATGTGCATGTGTCGTGCGGGAAAAGATTTGCTGCACTCAGATCGAGCTTGATGTACGGTCGAAAAAGACTGCCAAGGTCAGCGCTTGGTGAGCGAAACGGATTTTGAAAGGCTTACTGGAGTACACAGCCATAGTAATACATGTGCAGCACGAGCACATGTGGTAAGGACGTGTTCTCCAGACGGAACACGTCTGGCAGATTCTGGTACCACGCTTGATATTGAGCGTAAGTTGCCGCGAGCTTCCGGCTCGTGAAGCGTTCTCTTGGGGCGTAGAAAGTGTTGACCATATCGCTAGCCAACTCGGAAAGCTTGCTGAATCGATCGTTGAAGAGCATTGTTCTGGCTGGCTGCTCGGCGCTAGGGCTCAACGAAAAGTTCGTATCTTCGTACGGACGCCACGTCTTCGTCTCGGATCTGGAGTTTGCTGAAGGCGTTTCGATATCCGCAGCTGCTCGTGGAAGCTGAGAGAGCCGTCCAAATCCAACGGCACAAAGACTAGAAGCTGTCAGAGATCTGCCCGTAGGTCCATTTCAGCATAGTCGCATTGGAGGGTCTGATACTTACGTTTCCAGATTGAATACGGCCCAAAACGTAACCTTCTGAACCTCGCCCTCGGTCGATCGCAGGCCATTTTTCACCACGGAAAGATGCAGTCCAAGCTCGATCGCCATTCGCACACATCGACCCGCCAGTTGGTAGCCATTCGAGTCACGACCAGCAGATGTCTCACGCAGACTCATAATTCCAAGAGCTTGGACCGTAGTCAGGGACGGTCGATCGATCGAGTCCAGTATCCGCTTCGCTTCGGCGTAGAAGTGATTGCCGGCCGTCTCTGCATTGGTGGGATCAGTCCTTGCGAGCGGCCGATCCGAGTAGTGACACGCGAAAGATAGCATGGCATTCACGAGCAGAGCACTGCAATAATCGGTCCTGCCGCGTCCCATATCATGCAAGAAGTGGTCCCATGATACAAATGCGTAGAAAGGATGGACCCAACATTGGTAAAGAGATAAGAGATGCTCGACAAACTCTGCGTCCTGAGGTTTACCGAACCATGGCGTGCTTTGCTCCGAGCTGACTGAAGATTGATAGGGGATGCTATCCTCGCCGGAATCGTCCCTCGATAGAGATGGGGTAAAAGTGGTGTTCTCGAAGGTAGCGCTGCTAGGTGTCGTGATCTGTTGAGCAAAGTCTGCTTCCAGCGTCTGCGGGGCATAATTTGGAGGCAGTCGTACATTGCTCCGTAATTGTTCGGCGAGCGCATCTGGGTTGACATGGCCTCGCAAGCTATGGAGTAGGGCTATCGATTCGGCTTCCGGAAGACTGCGCAGGGAAGCAACGATCACGTCCAGCGCATCATTCTGCTGTTGCAGCGACTGTATGTCTCGTTTCAGTGCGCCCTTCCGTCGATGGTCGCTGTCTGCATCGTAACTGCATTCTGTTCGATAGACTGCGACGCAAGTTGAGCAAGATGGGAGTTGGCCATCGCACTGGTAGCGAGGTCAGCGGACGTTTCAATCTACCCGTAGCCGACTCCTTACCTTGCTCTTGCGCTTCCTGCATGGAATGCAAGCAGAGGAAACTGCTTTCCTCTTTCCCCCCCTGCTGTCGCCCGACGTTTCGCTGCCTTCAGGCGCACCCGGCTCGTTCTTCGGTCGAATGGGTCGCGGAGGCATCAAGAAAATGGACCGCGGGTGGTCGGTGTTCAACAGCAGTCGTTGATGTGAAGCTCAAGGTAAGTTCATGGGACAGAAAAAAGCAGGCAGGAACTGTGCCACTGCTTACGATACTGGAAAGTTCGGTGGCAGCTACGAGGCTAGTAGAAGGCACGGATGGGCAGAGGCAGAAGCCATTCATTCATTGGTGTGATGCGGCGCAGTGCCCTTGAGCTGGGCTGGGGCAGCGCCATACTTGTTCCTTCTATCGTGGCCGCCACACGGGCATCGCAGCACGCTTGGCATATGATCCACTGCACAAGGCTCTGACGGGTACCTGGAAGGGCGGATAGCGTGAAGACCCTGAGTCGAGCTTAATTCTCGGCTGCCACGGCACGCGGCTTGTGACAGAAGGATGGTCTCTACGTATACCCTGATTAAGCGAGATAGCGGACGGGGGTAATCGCAGCTAGCTTAAAGACGTTAGACGTAAACTTTTTAAAAGGATGGATAGTTCCTTTAGGCAGTATGCTAGCTTTGACCAGTTAGACCCCGTTTTTAGGGATCACCCCCTTCCGCCATCTTGCTCAATTAGGGCGTATAAGTGAAGGGCATCCTCTGTGGCGATCTCCAGAGCCATGATTGCAGGATGGTCTTGGCTATGCTCCCGCCGGATGATCATGCAGCAATGATTTCCGCCTGCTGTACGACCCATCCCGTCCCATCCGCAGGGCTGCAGACCCTCTGCTAAGCCACACTCTGCTGTCGGCGAACTGCCACAACCCGGAAACGAGGTCCAGGTGGGAAAGCTTGTTCTAACGTGCCCAGGTCAGCATCATAGTGACGGGATACAACACATTCCTATGCCTCTTGTCGTCCGGATATCTGTGCTTGGCAACTGTCCACGCCGAGGCAGAACGCCGACTCTCTCCCATCCCACCAGACCCATTAACCTTTCGGATTCTGCACTTCCGACCGCCCTTTACAAATACTGCGGCGAATACAAATGTACAATGAAAACATAGTGGAAACCACTAGAATCGCCACATGTGGCATGGGCGGCTCTCGTACACCTTGTGCTCATCAGTGCAGGCCGAACAGCTACCCTGGCATGCCCAGCATGACCAATGATTATGCCGCTTGGATGTGCAACCCGTAGCGAGTACTCTAGCTCATCCCGTCTCTCGGGCTTGAGGCAGCCAGCCTGGAGACGACAAGTTTACGTCAAGCTTTTCCTTCTAGAAAACGGCAAGGCGCCATCCTTTTTCCACATTCGGCCAAGTACTAACGACTTTGGTCCCTGCAAATGGGCCTTGGAGTGGAGCCAGCGCTGGCTGGTATCTCGCTGGCAGCAACGCCTACCCCCTGAAGACATTCTCTCTGGTGTGAGAAAAGTTTGATGAGCATTTGTCCCGCACTGGCAATATATGTATTTGCTTGGCGGACTGCCATTGACTTTGTCAGACCCAGACTTGGGCCAACATCTGGGGTTTAAGGTTCAACCTTCTCAAAGCATACCATCATCATTCTCACCTCAGCCAAGCCAAGGACTTTCAGGCACAAGATACACATCGTGCCTCGACCACGATAGTGTCACTTGCAACTTGTCAACTCCTGCGGACATGCTGATCGCGACTCTAGCATGCCACCTCAGTCTCGGCCTAAGCTGCAAAGTCCGAAATGCCTTGGAGTACGCAACGTAGATCATGCCATGACGACAGCTGTGCAGGAGTACTGCACATGCTTGTTCAGCTTCGGCATGTTGGCGGGAGGTCCAGAACGCTCTATCCGAAAGGAATCTTCAGCGATCAGAATGCCAGCTGCAACTGGTGCAGTGTTATCATGCACCGCCACGATTCAAAATAAGCCTGCGAACCTACTAGAATTTGGCTTCGTCTCCGCGTTGCGTTGCGAAACCTGGGAGAGGCTAATAACGCCAAGTACACTGGGCATCCTGGTCGTTCTCTGCATCCCGAAAACAACCACACGTCACACCAGGTTGACGGGCCATCGATTCTGTTTGATATAGGACGCAGCGAAGTCTCGGCGGCGGCACAGTTATTGAAGCTGATCTCCACACGATATTGGTCCAGGTCGTTGCCAGCAAACGCATACCCCGTCGCCTAATTCAAGTACCGTGCCGATACTCGAGTCCCAGTCAGCATTGCCGCTGCAAGGGAAGCTATTTCATCATATTACCGCTCATGTGAGCTCTCGCTACTCTGTTGCCACTCTCTGAATCATACAACCATGCGATATCACGACCCTCGGCTGCCATTACCAACAGAATGCTATCGAATAGTTCTCTCTTCGAGAAGCTTCGATGCTCCGCACCAATGTACATATACGACCAGGATTCAAGTTGGTGCTCCTACCTCAGAGCCAGCCTAGGACGTGGGAGAAATATACAGGTGGCCTTCTCACTGACTCATAGTTCTATGCGGATCGATGCTCTGAGAGCGCCCTTGCATCGTCTCGACTCAGCCTCGGTGCCCAACGCTCATGTTTTCGGCTACATAATGGCGAAGATGAACAGCGGAGCGAGGCCAAGTGTCATTGTTGCTCAAGAATTATGCTGTGTTGAGATTGTCAGAAGTTTTACCTTCCAGCTAGGAACAGGAGTTGAGTAGGAACCTTCGCGTGAGAGCAAAAGCGTACAGGGTCGATGAAACCGTGACTGAGTGCGCTACAAGTGCCAAGACGAGCGAAAATGATCGATATCCATCATCATGAAGTAGGAACGTGGCCCACTGCTGCTCCGGCCAAGCAAAGCCTACAGAATCTCAGCAAACGATCGCCTTCTGTGCTCGCAATAAGCCGTCTTGTGACCTGAATTGCTCTAACTTGCAAATCACCAATAGCCTTGCAATACTATGATACATTATGATATACACCCCATTCGGGCACCACGATATGTTCTCGAGTACGCCAAGAAATGGAGAAACTCATATGTAGCGATGCAGAACGCATTGCGTTTCGGAGACGCATACATGTGTCTACGTATGCCCAGCAATCCTACCAAGCTCCGTCCCGCTTGTGGATTAAACGGGCGCTCATGGCTTGCATCAACTCCACTTGACTGCTCCCGCGAGGAACATGCAAAGAAGAACTCTGCCACGGCGCAGGAAACCTTCACAGAACATGCAGCCTTGGATCCTCGTCGGGGCCACAAACCTCAATGAGGCAGGAGCGAGCGCTTGGACCAGCGCAACACACGTGGCATCCGAACTTCAAACTCTTCCCCCTCCACAACCACTATCTGCAGACTTCATCTTATGGTCCGGCTGCCACCCAGATTGCCAGCCACGAAACAGACGCTCGGAGTGTTGCGGAAGTGAACAATCTGGTGTCATCTCGGCGGTATACCAACTTGACAGTCTACTGCACACTCATTCACTTTGTTGACTCGTACAGGTTAGACCGATAGAGCACGAGAGTTTGTGGCGCCTCTTAACTTTTCAGCACCTCCACTGCGTCGGGCAGCGATTTGAAAAAAAAAACCCCTCCAAAATGGGCATTATTGCTCGAGAATAGCAAATTATTTAGAGTTCCATCCAGGCATTACGGTACCATTCTGTCCGGTGTCTTGGCGACGAAGTCTACTGAATTGTGGACCAAATTGAGCTTCGAGGAACGCTTACTATCATCAACTGCGGGAGTGAATGTGCTTAGGAATACAACTCTACCCGAGCACTAACTCCAAAATTGCACCATGCATGATTTGTACTGATGCTGCCACTACTGGAGAGGATTGCCATAGACGTCAGCATACAGTTCAGAAAGATCCACTTCCACGAGAATGATGGCTTGCATCATGCACGGGCAATCGCACCATCTCGTAGATCGACTGGGTATTCCATCTTCACCTTCCGGAGAATCAGTCCTGATCTGGACTTGTATATCGAATGGGAAACGGCAACCCGCTGCAGGTGAGGAGGATGCTATATCGCCCGAAGTGTCCGCCTCTTCTTCGGCAGGGACAAGCGCTTGCAAACGTGCTCCTTTTGGCCATCGCATCGTGCCCAAACTACTGTGGAGGTGTTTTAGTTGCGCCGTCACCAGCTTGTCTAACATGGTATTTAGTCGCACAGGCACCAACATCGACAGGCAAACTTTGAGGGTAAAGCACAGCGAACCCTAAACAGGATTCGTCGTGTGAATTGTTACGCATCGGCTATGACCGAGCCGTATGGGCACCCGATTACCGACTTCTCTACCGGCGGACAATAAAGCTTATGCCAGTCAGCAATCGTCGATCGGAAGAATGAACAATGCATCGCGGAATGATCGCGGTAGGGCACAATAGTCGCTACTTAGTGCGTACAAGGTTAGTGTCAAGCCAAAGAGTGGACATTTGATGTCGAAGTCCACATTCGTGGTGGTACAGTAAGGAAAAGTTTCCGCCTCATGCCACTATGGAGAGTGCATACGCAACACGCAGTCTTATGCTTACTGTTATCTTGACCCAGACAAGTCATTCAGCTCATATCTCATTTTGAGGCTCATCAAGCTATGAGTTCAGAGCTTGCTTGGCCGTCTGCCGGCTCAACCATATCGAAGTTGATGCCTGCTTTCCTTACGGAATTCCTGATAAAGTAGCCCGCTTCCATCCCCGATGAGTGTATCGTCTTCTATCTAATTTGAAAGCCGTGACAGTGGATCTTGAAATTATGCCATTTCCAAGTGATGAAAGAAGTATAGCCGCAGTGGGGTTGAGCTGACGTCCCGGCTTTGCGGAATGTCGTAGACCTTTTGCGCATGGAGATGAAGGCAGCGAAAGCTTCTTATGTCACCGATAACTATTCTTCTTCGTTGAATTCTTCGTTACCGTCGTTGTCATCCAACTCGTAGTCGGGAAAGTCGTCAAAATCAGGGTCGACGTCTCTATCGTCTTCGAACAGCTCCGCCAGGTCTGATGACTCAGATTCGGAAGATGTTGGGGATTCTGACGCCGAAGGCCTTCGGACGCCAATCGATTCCCCATTCCCACCGTGATAGACCGTCTCGAGCCAAGGCGCCGTTGTTAGCGCCAAGATCAAGAAAGATGCTGGAGTCCGAGTTCATGACGATACAACGCACGCAGTTCCAGATTGTGTACACTGGCTGCACGTTCTCGTCGGCCATTCTTGAGCGTTTCGAAAAGTCGATGGCACTGTGGTCCGGTTCGGAGGAAGATATTTGCATACAGAGGTGGCTCAGCAATATCGCGAAGGCTACTGGAGACGATTGCGAGAGTACGGAGGTCTCCTTTATCTAGCTGTTTTGCGATCAGGTCGTCGTGGAGCTTTTCTCCATTCGCGGCGAATTACAATGGAAGTCGTGATGGAATGATCGTAGTCGTGCTTGCAAGAAGGCAAGCTGAGCTGATGATGATGAGTCAGTGAGCAGGGATGCGCGTTGCTTTCGCGCCTCCAACCGTGTCGTTCCTCCGCCCAGAATCGAGGCTCACCTCACTCTGAACCGAGCTTCTTTTTTTCCTTCGTCTACATGACTACGAGAAATCATGAAGGGCCATCAGCACGTTGATAGCCACGTGGAGCTAGACAATAATGTACAAGCAAGTTGGATTGCGATGGCCAAGACACCATCTGTCGTTGGAACGAACAAGAAGAGAGACTAGACTTGGCAACCAGAGAGGCATAGCATCCATTCAACCGCACTGCTTTGCACTCTGGAAGTCAGGGCCTCTAGATATCAGGGAGAGACTGCTGCAGCACGTTCTATCATTTCCTTGTCATCCGCCAATGTTTCACGGCCCTGCTTTCCCGCTGCTCAGCACACTCATTCGGTGTACACATAGCATCCTCGACAACGCCAACGGAATAGCCACCTTCCTGCGCCCTGGCCTGGTCTCATGTCAAGCTGCACTGGCTCACAAGCTACCAAAAGATCTAACATGAGCCCAGAGGTCGTACTCAAGCGCAAAAAGGTCGATCTTGTGATTCTATCACAAGATACTCTATCACAAGATACATGCTGCTACCACCGCGAATCGAACGCGGACCTCGCACAAGATGCTTTTGGCAAGCGCGAATTGTACCATTCAACCATGGCAGCGACTTCTGATTGATGTTGGGTGGTGGAAATCTTTGCTATATCAATGTCCACTGCAATTCGGGCCGGCCTGTGGGCTGCCAAGACATTAATATCTGACCATCCGAGGTGTGTCCGGCCTCTAGGAACTCTACGTCTTGTCAAAGCACTCCGTTAGGGACGTCATCGGCCTCGACCTCCGTGTGGTGGGACGACGTGATGTGCGCACGTATGCGTTGGTATCACGGGAAAGCAAGCAGCGTGAAAGCCAGTAGCCAGCATTGCTCCGAAAGTGGACCTTCACCACGGGCGTCCTGTTGCCTTGATCTCCTCGTCACGGTCTACACTCGCTACTCAGTCGCAATTAGCTCATGCGATGTCTTGACTACAAGCCCAAATGCTCTTTGATCTCCGCCAGAACGAGCTCAGGACGGTCAAGGTGAACTCCATGATTGGCACCCTACATGTAAAGGGCCAGCAGTGGAGCATTTGGTATCCTCGCAGCTAGGGGCTCGGAATTCTTTGGTCGACATGTCAGTGAAGTATTCTCAGCGACAACAGATCTCAGCTACCCAGAGCACAGATCGGCGGGCTTGTATGCTGGGATGGGTGGAAAAGGCGGAATGTCGGCTTGGAGGTGGTTGCTTATCTTCGACTTCATTATTGCGATACCGGTCATTGTTTTTCGGATACGTCGCGTACGACGAGGGTTTTCTATCTCAACGCTTGGGAATGCGAACGCGCTCGGGCGAGAATTGAGGAGGAATGGCGGAAGACGGTTGGGAAATGGGACTGGTATGTCTTCTACCGTATCTTTGGACCCTGGCAGGTCTACGCTTTCACTGTTGGATACACGATTTGGACTTTGACCTCGTACAATACTTTACGCTGTACTTGAAGGCTACCAAGCAATATAGCATGGAGCAGATCAATAGCATTCCAACTGCCATCAGTGCTGTCAACTGGTTCGTTATGGTATCGACAGGATTCATCATCGACATAATTGGACGCCGCGGACCTCTGTGCTTTGCAGTAGGGTGCGTATTGGTATTCACGTACGCTGTCTTGACAGTGTGGGACGTGGGCCATCCGTTTTGTATGGCTGTGTTCATTCTCCGTGGTGTATACGAATGCTACACGCCTATTCTGGCAGGCTCGGTCAACGAGGCTTGTGGAGGAGACCAGCAAAAGCGAGCTTTCGTGCTTGCATTCATGGTTTCTGTTGGCCAAGCTGTCGGAATAGCATTTCAGCAGCTACAGCTACAGTTCCCAAGCTCTGACGCGCCTTGCTTCTCGAATACTCATGTTTGGGGCTTTTCGTTGGCCTTTGTCACACCTTTGACGCTATGGACTGGAGTTGGTCTCCCATCACTACGGAGGTTGCTCGCTTGAAGAAACGACACCAACTCTGTCGTGCAAGATTTTGCTGAAGCATGAACAGGCCATGTGTTTGAGGACATTGGTGTAACTCGATAGGAACGCGAATTTGCAGGAATGCGCAAATACTCTGACGCTTAAACACACTTTTTGTGCGTGCCTTTTGCTGTGCCTCGCTGATAGTTTGATATTTGGTTCCTGGAAAATGCTTCGAATGTCTCTTAGATTGCTAGATCGATTCGTGGGTAAATGTATGCTCAAATGGCCGCCAACTCATGCCCAATCGCTGTAGAACAACTCCAGACTCCATGCTAATATTCAAACTACCACTCGCCCCACCCATCTTCGTCCTTCTTCTTCGCCCCGGCGGCGCCACCAGCGCCTCCAGAAGTTTTCATGGCATTCGTTCCCAAAGTCGATGGCTTTGCTTTCTGCTGTTGAGCGGATTCACCAGCAGCAGAAAAGTCGTCCCAGAAGTCCTTTTTGTCTTTGGGAGGTCCTGCCGGTGCCTGACCGAAACTGTCCCAGAAGTCCTGCTTTGCTGGGGCTGCTTTGCCAGGCTGATGTTCTGGGTCCACAAATTTGTTGAACTGCTCGCCGAGCCCTCGCGTGCCTTGCTGCACAGTGTTTCCCAAATTCATACCCGCCGTTCGTACTTGCGCGCCCCAATCACTCTCTGCGAAATTTTTCATGCCTGGTTGGAGGTACGTTTTGTTCACTGTGGCCGCCTGTTTTGACACCGTGCTCGATAGCCAGCCAAATCCTTTCGTAAGTGCTGCCATAGGGTTCTGCTGAAACTCGTCCGCGGTTGGAACTCCAGAGCCATTGCTATTTGTAGGCATGGGTGATGATCCAAAACCGGCGTACTTGCCGCCTTGAGAAGGCGCGAGACCTTCAGGTCGATTAGCGTTCTCCTGTCCCATCTTCGCGAAGTAAGCCTCGTTTCGTGATTTCTGTGAAGGCGACGCTGCTCGCTGCGGAGTCGCTCTTACGCCAGCAAGAGGCGTGTTTCTTCCCGACCCTGCAGGCGTATTTGATATGCTCTCAATTGCGGCCTTCTTCGGGGCTGGCTTAGGCTTCGATGAGCCTGGCACATACTCTGTCCCCTCAACCTTTGCTGTTAATCTCTCCTTCCACTCCTCACCCGCTTCACTGTCGTATCTTTCTGAGATGGTGCAGCTGTCGAATTCCTGCCCAATCAAGGTATTGCTGCTGTGATTATTGAAGAATTCCTTCCACGGCTTGTTACCACCAAATTCCATCCTCTTGACTTCCCCTGTCTTGAATGCGTCCATGGTCACGGATCGCACAAATGAAATGTGCACTCCTAGCGATCGGTGTATGCCTGAGCACGCGAGGCAGAAGAAAATGCCGAACTTGGGCGACGCCTGTCATCATTCAATTAGTATCAATACTATCATCGCCTCCATCTCGCTGCTCCATCGCCGGCGACTTTGCACTGACCCATTGCGGACTGGGCGCGCCGCAGTCTACACATCTGTTATTCTCATTCGTCTTGGCTATCTCTTGCAGCTTGCTCCGGGTTTCCGGATCGACTTCCCACATTTTACTCATGGCGGCGGTATTGTTCGTAGTTGATAATGTAGCGTGGGCGGTGGATCGATCGGGCTCGAGCGGAGGAGGTTTGGGCGTCAAGGTCCTATCGTATCATCTTTCGGTCTCGGTTGGATCAATCGCAAACAATGACAACTTCAACATCGAAATCGGTATACGGAGACATATATACTTGTCGCGTGCACATGAGGACATCTCTCCTTAAACGTGGTCAATATTCTATCAATAGACGGGAGTCTCCGTCTCCGGCTTTCAGCGACATGTCGACCGGGAATCCGACTTGACCTCCCACTGCACAGCTGCATCATCACAGATTCGCAATCATCACGGAATACTGCAGCTCAATATGCACACGCTGCAGTCCACGCTCCCGTACCGTAAAATGCTACGGTGCAATCAAGCATATGAATTCCCCGAGGCGATACAGCTTGCTTGCCTTCCCACCTCCTTCCACGGTTCCACCTCTGAACTCTGGTCTGCTATCTCAAAGCCGTAAACGATCGGCATACCCTCTCGCCTCTCCACCGCCAATCAGTATCACCAGACCCCTCAGCTTCCTGTCCCGTCTGGGACATTTGCTAGATCTGCAGCCAGAGGCTGCACGATGGAGGATCAACGACCTCGTGTTGACAGCTCGTGAACCTTCCGACAGCCTTCGAAGTTCGAGCAGCCTATGATACCGGCCACACCCCGTCTTGTAAGATGTTTAAGGGTACCAGTGTAGCCGTTACAAGAGGTAGGATGTGATTCTTGTTGTTTCCTGCTACCCTTCGTATATTCAATTTCGTCTTGAACATGTTCGGCCTTTTCACAGCATGGCTGGGCCTGCTGAGCTTTCAGTACACAGCAGCATTACCTGCAGGATCATCATTTCTTCAAAAGCGAGATGCATATTCTACACCACGAAATGTGATGTATGTACAGACTTTCAAGACTACCTCTGGAGGCCAACTTTCTCTCCTTCCTCTTGTACAACAAAATACTCAAGTAACGCACATTTATCTGGCCGCTGTGCATATCAACTCGGAGCCAGGAGATATTACGTTGAACGACAACAACCCTAATGACACGATATGGGATACGGTCTGGTCAGAAGCAGCACAATTGCAACAGGCGGGAGTCAAGGTCATGATGATGATGGTGAAGAGTCTTCCTCCAGAGATGCACCGCAAGACACGCTAATGTATTCGTGAGTAGGGCGGTGCAGCTCCTGGCAGCTACCCTCGACTCTGCAGTGGTGAAGATGGTGCTGTAATTGTAAGCTGCGGCTCAAAGTGAATTCGTTCAGACTTATCGCTAATTGAGTTCAGAACGAAGAATACTACGTCCCTCTCCGCGATACCCTCAAATACCACAAGGTCGATGGCCTAGACCTCGACATCGAAGAACAAGTAGCCTACACCTGCCCTCTAGCCCTACTACGTCGCCTCAACGATGACTTCGGTTCCAACTTCATCCTCACAATGGCCCCAGTAGCCTCCGAACTCCAACCCAGCGGTTATGGTCTCGGTGGCTTCTCCTACCAAACCCTAGACTCCCAAGCCACATCCTCTTCCAAACCCAACGGCAAACTCGTCAACTGGTTCAACGCCCAATTCTATAATGGCTGGGGCGACGCCAGCAATCCCACAGGCTACAACGCAATCATCAACAACGGCTACGCACCGTCCCGCGTCGTCCTAGGCGTCTTAGATAACCCCAACGACGGCGGGTCAGGTTGGTATGGTCTCGACGTCTACAAAACCAACATCGCAACCCTAAAAGCGAATTACCCTGATTTCGGTTGTGTGACGGGTTGGGAATATTGGGATGCTGGAGAGGAGGATAATTTGGATCAGCCTTGGAAATGGGTGCAGAGTATTGGTCAGGCTGTGTTTACGAGTGAGAAGGGACAGGTTAACAAGACGGCGAATGTTACGAATGCGATGAGTCCTTGGCCGATTTTGACGCAGGAGATTGTTAACTTGGGAGCGCCTTGGTTAGCGGCTATTAGGGCGCTGAATGTTACGGACGGGAATTTGACGAGGGCGTTGCAGATTTTGGGGTTGCCGCCGATTGATTTGGGGGTGATTTCGAAGGAGTGAGTGCAAATTTTACTCCTGTAGATTACATGGCATGTGAAATATTTTGGGCCCTATCTGTCTTTCTGAACTTTTCTGTGGCTCCTTCAGCACGATCTGTTATAGAGCAGCCTCACTCTCGTCCTGGATTAATGGGCCTACCCGAGCACCATGCCGCATATCAAGCTGAACGCCTGTACGCTCCATCAACGGTGATATCTCCTCCATAAAGAAGATAGAGTCAGGCTTAGCGCCGAGGCTGCTGGAAGACTTTCTCACGTCATTCATGAAGCGCTGCAGCCGTAACAGCGTCTGTACGTGGATCAGGCTGGAAGGAGGAGCACGAAGCTTTCCGCTAAACTCGTTGATGCAGAGGAAGACGTATCGAAGATGGGAAGCATTTGCAGTGCCGATGGTCTTGAAGAACTTCTTGCACGCCGCTCTGACGTTCCGTGACTTTTCGGCCCAGACGACAAACCTGGTCTGTCCGTAAAACATGGGGATGGTGTCTTGTCTGACGGTACGACAGACTCTGGTCAATGCCGGCTGGCTTGCTGGTGCAGGGAGTTGAACCCATCGAGCCTTCGCGTTGTGTTCGCTGCTCGTCGAGGTTTCGTAAGCGAGAACCTTCTTGCTTGTGCGGGCGATGTCGGCGGGTATGAGTCTTTTTTATGGTCAATTGATGTCAATATCAGGGACTTGACTGCTGGTACTTACGCCCAATGCTCGGACTTGTCTAGACATCGGCTCGAAGAAGTCGGATTGCCGTAGCACTTGATGTGATATCGCTCTGCAACATCGACGGTCGTCACTGCTCTGCATGTGCCATTGGAGCATCTCTGAATTTGAAGACAGCCGCTTAGCTCGTAGATGGTGTTGCGCAGCTCAGCTGGCAAATCGAGAAAAGTGGTTGGTGATGTTGGTGCATTGGGGGGTTCCATTTCGTTATGTAGCGGCGGTTGAGATGTCTCAAAGGTGGTCAGGCCAAAGTCTAAGTCCTCATCATGAAAGTGAGCTTGATTGGTCTCGTCAGCAATTTTGGCATGTGATAAAAGCCCGAGTCACTTCAATATCGCATCTGAAGCAGTGGGTATGAGGTGCTAGCAGCAGGTCAAATAAACGACAAATACGTCACATTTTGCGGAACAGTGATTGCAGTGGCCGACTTGGTTTTATCTGCAGAAAGCGAAGCATTGCAGCAACTGCGAGCTTCGTTATTGCTGAGACATGACGGGATTTCCTGCTTGTGCGCCATGTCCTGCTCCCCATCTGGCTTTCTCGTGCTGGTCCATATCGCTACGGCCACATGATGTCCCTTGCATGTAACATGAACGCGAGTTCAGTACGCTTCGGCTGAAGTATCTTGTCAGGTATGCTATCTGCCACCCAAATAGATTGCCAATCCGCAAACAGATATGCCTTGACATACTCCCAATAGTCCGGATAAAAGCCAGCAAGCTCCCAGTCAAGAATCGCCACAACTGAGCCATCGTTGACCAGTATGTTGCTCGGAGTAAGGTCGTTGTGAGTAAGTACCGTTTCGTGTCCACTCATAGATCGCAGGAAGCGCGCTACCATTCGCGACCAGGAGTGATCGGCTCGTTCGTGGAGTGCTTGAACGAGGCCTTCATGGAATTGCATTTCGGTGCTATAGGGACCGTATTCTCGCATGTCCCAGGAGAAGAACTGGTCGCAACATGGCTCGCCGTCCACCGAACTTATGACCGGACTTTGGATTTGTCGAAGTTCATTCAGATAGCGTTTGAGCTGATGCACGACTGCTTGCTTCTGCGCGAGGTCATAGGTCGGCCAGGCTTTGTCGAGGGTGACGCCTTCCACGTACTCCATGATGATCACGCCACAGCCATCGTCTTGGATGTAAGCATCGTGCACTGTCGGAATTGGGATGGCGGTCTTCTCCGACAGTAGCCGCATCGCCGCCGCCTCTGACATTCGAGAGGCATCACCGACCTTGATGACTATCCTGTCGTTGAACCTGTATGCTCCGGAAGAGCGTCGCAAAGCCTTGCAGGTCTTAAGGAATTCATAGTCCACATATGGCCGTTCGCGCTCGTAGGCGTGAGGATATCCAATGCCGTCTCCGGGTTGCGCATCTTTGAGCGCTGCGAGATAGGTATTTTGCCGGCTAAAGACCCTTCTGAGCATTCCTCGTTTGCGTGTCGGAGTGGCTATGGAGAGATGTTCGTGCTTACTATCAGCGCTCGATGAGATATGTTCTGGCTCCTCTAATCCAGCGTCACCAACGCACACCAGCAGCATTTCAGGGCAAGAGGAGCACGCCGGTACGCGTGGGCTGGTGCAAGCATGGATCTGGGTATACGAAATGGCACGAGATTCTCAGCGAGCACGTCGGTTCCTGCACTTGATATCAATTGAATCACCGTCGCATGTGAAGTGGTGAGCGGGAGCTGTGCAGGACATATATCAGCGTCACCAAACAATGCGCCAGGCTTCTGAAATTGCTGGTCGTTGGTGCATTATTGCTGGTGTTGTTGGTGCAACGCGGCGTACAGGCCTCGGCGCGATGCTGAACTGTGAAGCAAAAGTTAGAAGCCCCTAGGGAACGGGAACCAGGCATCTGATCACCGCCAGCAGCAATCAACGAGCATTTCCGTTGCAGCTGCAGCTTCCCTAGGGATGTTGGAATACAGACTTCCCGAAATTCGGCCCTTATATATAGATAGATAGATATTTCATTTGCCTGTTGTAGTGCCTTTCGGCCTATGTAGGTCTGTTTCTATATATTGTTTTAGGTAGGAAACCAACTTAGTTAGTAAAAATCTCCCTCCTGTCCTATTTATAAGTATTAATCTTCCTCGTTTCCTTATTTTCCTTCCTCTAGGGTATACTAGTGTTATAGTTATTACCCTCTAACTACCTTGCCTACTGCCCTACCCTTCTTTCCCCCTCTTCTTCCCTCCTTCTTATCTACTCCTTAGTTTCCCTTGCTAGTGCGAATTATTATACGAATCCCTATTTAATAATCTACTTTACTATCCTCTTTAGGTCTTCCTTGCTCTAGATTAGCTTATCGTATTCCCTTTCTATTGCTTTTAGTCTCTAATTACTTCTACCTTCTAACTATTAAGGGCAGACTAGCAGTATATACTTAGGGTTCTAAGATTAGTAGCTATATTAGCAAGCTCTGCTTTTAATTCCTAGGACGTTTCTTCTAAATAGGTAAGATCTAAGTCTAATATATTTAGATCTAATTTAGATAGCTAGGCTTGCCTCGGCCCTATTTAGGTCCTTATAGAGCTAGTAGTTATATTAACTAAATTTGATTAGTGCCTTTAGGGTTCCTAGTCTGACTTATATTTTGTTCTATTCCTGCTCCTATAGGTATCTAGCAATTGATTCTACTAGGCTTTGTTTCTCTCCCTTTAGCTTGTCTTCCTTTAGCCTTATATTTAGTCCCTAAAGCTCTTTCTCTAGCATTTCTCTTATTAAGACTCTATATTGCTCTAGGTCTTTAACTTTCTAGGGAGTCATTTATAGTCTGTCTCGCCTCCTAGTCCTAATATACTAGGCTTTTATCTTGTCTAGTGCCTTTTAGATAGTCTATTAGGCTAGGTATTCTATTATCTTTGCTATATATTGGTATCTTAGTCCCTTAAAGTATTGTTTAACTAGTAGGATCCCTAATTCTATTTCTACTACCCTTATTAGTATAGTTTTGTATACTCCTAGGATTTTCTTTAGGCTTTAGGTTTAGGACCTGCTAACTAGTTGCTTAATCCTCTTTAGTGTTTTCTCCTAGGCTGTCTATATCTATACTCTATATAGCATTGCTAGCTTAACAATTGCTTTGTATATAACTTTAGCTTTCTCGAATATAGCCCCCTATATAGAGGCTATAAGCCTATTAATAGATTGTATATTAGTATCTACCCTCTACTTTGCCTTCTTTACTTATAGTCCCTAATTTAGTTTTGGATCTAGCTAGATCCCTAGTACCCTAAGCTCTGCTAATAGTTAGGTTTTAAAGCCTTAGATAGTGATTGATTGCTTTATATTATAGGTTGATTTAGCCTTACTAAAGTAGATAAGCTAGTACTTTTCTAGGGCGAATTTTGCGCTATGCCTCCTTGCCTATTTTTTATACTCCTAGTGCTTCTCTTCTAGGATCTTGCAGTTAGTTTCTATTATCTTAGACTAGGCTAGGATGTTTGTATTATCTATAAACCCTAATGCTAATGTGTTTTTTGATTCTAGGAGTAGGAGTAGGTCTGCTATAAAGATAAGAAAGAGGATTAGGGAGAGTATTAATCCTTAGGGGATTCCCTTTTTAGTTAGTATTAGGTCTAATTTGAATTTACCTAGAATAAGCTATATTGATCTTTCCTATAGGAAGGACTAGATAAATTAGACTATCTAGTTTAGTATAGCTTTCTATTTAAGTATATATAGGAGCCTTTTATAGGAGACATTATTAAAGGCTCCTAAGATATTAAGGGAGAGGAGGGTTGCTACCTAGTTTTAACTATAGTACTAGATATGCTTGATCTGTTCTGTAATTAGTTCTATAGCTATTAGTATTAACCTCTTCTTTCTTCCTCCTATCTAGCCTTTAGGAAGGATATTCCTTTCCTCGGCAAAGGTTATTAGCCTTTTAGCGACAATTTTTTCTAGCACCTTGCCTATTGTATTAAGTAGGGCTATTAGTCTGTAGGCCTTAAGCTATATATAGTCTTCCTTCTAGGGCTTCCTTAGCACTACTATTAGGGACTTCCTAAATAGTCTTAGGTAGTATCCTAGTGCTAGGCTTTATAAAAAGATATTAGCTAGTGCTAGGGCTAGCCCCTTCCTATATACTTTTAGAAGTTTGTTATAGATCTTGTCTTCTCCTAGTGCCTTATTGCCTAGAATTTTCTTTAGGATCCTTTTAATAGTTTCGGGTTTAACCTAGGTGTCTCTTAGTATACCTAGTAGTAGAGTCTCTTATTCTTTCTCCTTTATATCTAATAGGTCTGCTTGTACTTTTCTATAGAAGAAGTGTTAGCCTAGGGCTCTTGCTTTCCCTTCTATTATAGTCTATATTTGTCCTTATTAGTCTATAATGTCCGGGAATTGTAGTAGTATATCCTTATCCTGTTTAGGTCTCCTTGCCTATTTAGCTATCCTCTATATCTCCTCTAGTTTCTTTGTAATTATTCCTACTATAGATCTCTATTCTTATATCTTGTCTTTCTTAATCTAGATCTTCTTTTCCTAGTAGGCTTTGTTATAGTTGTCCTATGCTTCCTAGGTGTAGGTTTATATCTACTACTTCCTAGCCTTCTTTACTACTTTAACCTTCCTTATATACTTACTAGTCTAGTATAGTTGCTAGTATAGTGAATGTTTCTTTACTAGGGTATGCTTTCTAGCTACCTATTTTAGGATTCCTGTTAGTTCTTCTACTGCCTTATTAATGTCCTCTAGCCTTAGTAGGTACTTTGTTAAGAGTTCCTCTAGTTTTAGGTCCCTTTCTAGTTCCTCCCTAATCCTGCCCTATTAGGCACCTTTCTAGTTGAGCTTCTCCTCTAGTTCCCTTTCCTAATTAGCTTAGATATTCAGCTTAATCTATACCAGGAAGTAGTCTAATAATTCTTCTAGTTCCTAGTTAACCCTACATCTTATAATCCTATTCCTAATCTAATATAATATAAAGTATAGGTCTAGTATGCTGCTGCTTCCTCTTGCCTCCTAAGTAATTAGTCCCTTTAGGGTAACAATTTCTATTCCTTCCCTCTCTAATATATTAATCAGTCTTCCTACTAGGAAGTGGTAAGCTAGGGTAAAGTCTAAGCCCTAGAGGGGATAGTAGAGGTTGAAATCCCTAAGTAGGATTTAGTAGGTGTTCCCCTAGATAACTCTAGGTAGTCTTTCTAGGGTTTTTAGTTAGGTACTACTTCTTAAGTCTAGTAGTAGGTTGTATATATAGTAGACTTAGAGTGTACCTTAGGATGTCTCTACTTGAACTAATATTAGGTCCCTATCCTCCTATAGTATAGCCTACTAGGTTTCTGTATCTATCTCCTTACTAATATAGATGTATGTCCTTAGGGCTCCCTAGTTGTAGATAATTAGGTAGTATCTTAGGTCTTTAACTATTGCTAGTCTCTTTATATATAGGTTAAGCTAGGGCTCTTAGATTGCAATAATGTGATATTCTTTTAGGTTTAGTACTTAAAGGAAGCTCCTCTGTACCTTATCTTTACTCTTATTAACATTGTACTATATAATATTCAGTAATATTGCAGTGTTCATTAGGTTTTATCTATATTATTTCCCTATAAGTTTTCCTTTAGTCTTCCCTTACTTTAGACTAACATTTAACTAAGCTTTGTCTGCCCTACTTCCTTTCCTACAATATTAAGGTATCTTAGTCTCCCTAGTTGCTAGTGACTCTCTTATACTAGTAAGGCCCTAAATATAAACCCATTATCTTGCCTAGACCTCTTTTATAGCACTTAGCTAGATTGCTTCTATACCTAGCTGCCCTAGCTTATTATGTATCTTTTTAGTGTATTAATTCTAGCTTCCTTTGCCTTTCTAGCTACCTGTATTCTTACTAGGTATTCCTTCGCCTAAGAGGGGTGTCTTTTGATATAGTATATACATCTTGCTTCTCCCTTATATGCTTTACATTCTTTAACCTAGTAATCCCCTATATAATAGGAGCAGGTGTTGGTTGTCTTTATACACTTAGCTGCTAAGTGTCTATAGTGTTGACATTTAAAGCACTGTATTATCCTATAGTTGCTTCTATATATCTCTGTTTCTAATCTTTTAAAGTCCTAGAACAATCCCTAGTCTAGCACTATATTAGCTTGCTCTATACTCCCTACCTAGATAATTAGGGAAGACTGCTTCTTAGTCTCTTCGATTTTCCTTTTGATCTATACTACTTTTGTAATCTTTAGGCCTAGGCATATAGCTTGGTTTTGTCTCTATAGGCTCTTAATATCCTGTTCTTCCTTAAAGCTTCTTATTATGCTATAGGCTATAATTATAAATTGCTGTTAGGAGACCTTTACTATTTTCCCTATCTTAGTTGTCTATTCTTTTTGTATTTCTAGCTTCTTTTTGTCCTGCTCTTATACTATAAACAGCTTAATTACCCCTTTACCTTCGTTCCTAGCCCTAATTACCTCTTTAACTGCAATTCTTTCTACAATCTCTTTCCCTATAAGTCCTTAGATTTCCTTTTGCTCCTATAGGTCCGTAATATAGACTCTAACTACTGTCCTCGGGGGTTTTAGCGCCTCCTAACT